TAATGATAATGGGCACTCTTACTTCACCCTTGATGTTACTGGGAAGGCTTCTATCTTATCCCCATTAAAGATAATGCTTGCTGATGGTTTTAGATGGATACTACTTACCATTTTAAGGAAAACTATATTTATTCCTATGCTCCCTAGTGTTTTTAATAGGAATGTGTGCTACATGTTGTCAAAAGCTTTTTTCTGCATCTAATGAGGTAATCATATGATTTCTGTTGGTTTTGTTATTGATATGGTCAATTATGCTGATAGTTTTCCTTATATTGAACGAGCCTTGCATTCCTGGAATAAATCCCACCTGGTGATAGTGTAAGATCCTTGTGATATATTGTTGTAATCTCCTTGTTAATTTTGCTTAAATTTTTTGCATTAATATTCATTAGGAAAATTAAACTGTAGTTTTCTTTCTCTGTTTAGCTCTCCCTGGTTTAGGTATCAGCACCATATTTATATTATAAAAGGTATTTGGTAGGACTCCTTCTTCACTTATTTTCCCAGGGTGTTTATATAGCATTGGAATTAATTGTTCTTCAAGTATCTGGGTAAAATTATAGGAATAAATGAAACATTTCCTAAAATGATAAGTAGTATCTATCTAAAACCAAGAGCAAGCATTAACTGTGATTGGGATAAACTAGATGTTTTCCCAATAAGATCAAGGGTGAAGCAAGGATATCTATTATCATCAATATTGTTAAATAGTGTATTAGAAATGCCAGCTATAGCAATAAGACAAGAAAAAGAAATTGAAGGAACAGAAAGAGGCAATGAGGAAATAAAACTATCAGTATTGCAGATGATACGATAGTACGCTTAAAGAACCCCCAAAAATCAGCTAAAAAACTAGTTGAAACAACTGTTTCAGGTAATTAGCAAAATGTTCAGTCATTTCAGTCATGTCTGACTCATTGTGGTCCCATTTGGGGTTTTTTTGGCAAAGATATTAGAACGGTTTGCCATTTCCTGCTCCAGCTCATTTTTACAGATGAGGTACTGGGACAAATGGGTTAAATGACTTGCCCAGGGTCACACAGCTAGTAAGTGTCTAACGCTAGATTTGAACTCAGGGAGGTGAGTCTTTCTAACTTCAGGTCTGGCACTGTGTTACCTACCTGCCCTTAGCAAAGCCATAGGATTAAAATAAGCCCACACAAATCATCAGCACTTCCATGTATCACCAATAAAACCCAGCAGGAAAAGACAGAAGAAGATATTCCATTTAAAAAAACTGCAGATATTATAAAATACTTGAGAGTCTAACTGCCAAGACAAATCCAGGAATTATGTGAACACAATAATGAAACACTTTTCACACAAATACAGATCTAAAATATTAATCGCTCATGGGTAGGCTGAGCCAATATAATAAAAATGACAATTTTACCTAAATTAATTTACATATTCAGTGTTATACCAAACTATAAAAGAATTATTTTACAGAGTTCGAAAAAATAATAAAATTCATCTGAAAGAACAAAATGAATATCAAGAGAATCTATGAAAAAAATGTGAAGGAAGGTGGCCTAGAAGTACTAGATATCAAAATATATTATAAAGCAGTAATTATGAAAACAATCTAGTACTGGTGAAGAAATAGAGTAGTAGATCAGTGGAATAGATTAAGTATACAATATATAGCAGTGAATGACCACAGTAATCTAGTGTTTGATTGACTCAAGCATCCAATCTTTTGGTGCAAGAGCCCACTATTTGACAAAAATTGCTGGGAAAACTGTAAAGCAGTTTGGCAGAAACAGGCATATACCAACATATCACACCATATACCAAAATAAGGTCAAAATGGGTAAACGGCTTAGACACAAAAGATGATATTGTAACTAAATTAGTGTAGCATAGACAAATTTACTTTTCAGATTTATGGATAAGGAAAGAGTTTATGACCAAACAAAAGATAAAGAGAATCATGGGAACTAAAATGGATAATTTTGATTATATGAAATAAAAAAGTTTTTGCACAAACAAAATCAATGTAGCCAAAATTAGAAGGAAATTAGGAAAGTACAAAGTTTCTCTGACATAGGCCTCAAATCTCAAATATATAGGGAACTGAGTCAGATTTATAAAAAATAAGAGCCATTTCCCAACTGATAAATGGCCAAAGGAGATGAATACTCAGTTTTCAGAAGAAGAAATCAGAGCTATCGAGTCACATAAAAAAGACTCTAAATCTCTACTTATTAGAGACGTAAGTTAAAATAATTCTCATATAGCACTTGACACGTATTAGAGTGCCTAATATGACAGAAAAGGAAAATGATAAAGGCCGGGGGGATGTGGAAAAATAGAGACAGTAATGTACTCTTGGTGGAGTTATGAATTTGTCCAATTATTCTGGAGATCAATTTCAAATTATGCATAAAGAATTATAAAACTGTGCATACCCTTTGACCCAGCAATAGCACTTCTAGGGCTGGATCCCAAAGAGATCATACATATGGGAAAAGGACCCACATGTACAAAACTATTTATAGCAGCTCTTTTTGTGGTGGCAAAGAATTGGAAATTGAGGGGATGCCCATCAAATGGGGAATAGCTGAACAAGTTATGGTACATGATTGTGATGGAATACTACTGTGGTATAATGACAAGCAGAATGGTTTCAGAAAAACCTGGGAAAACCTATGTGAACTGATGCAAAGTAAAGTAGGAGAACCAGGAGAACATTGTATACAGCAACAGCAATATTATAACAATGATCAAATGTGGAAGACTTAGCTACTCTGATTAATACAATGATCCAAGACAATTCCAAAGTGCCAATGATGAAAAATGCTGTCCACTTTCAGAAGGAAAACTAATGAACTCTGAATGAAGCATTTTTTTTAAACTTTCTTTGTTTCTTGCTTTTAATTTTTTTAATAACAACGCTAATATGGAAATATGTTTTGCATGACTTCACATGTATAATTGGTATTATACTGCTTGTCTTCACGGTAAGTGGGAGAGGGAATTTAGAATTTAAAATTTTAAAAAATGTTAAAAATAAATTAAGATTTAAAAAAATTTAAAAGGGACCTTAAAAGTCAACTATTCCAGTGTCTTTATTATGTAAGGCAACTGAAGAACCAAGGAGGCTAAGTGATTTTCCCAGTATCACACAGGTAGGAAGTGGCATCAATCAGGATTTGAACAGACATTTACCAGCTTCAGATCTGGTGATTTTAACACTATTATTCTGCCTCTTAGGCTTTTAATAGTAGAAAGTTCTGCCCTGTTTCTCGCACATACCTAATATGTCAGCTAAATATTTTCTTTGGATTCAACTTCCCAGTGCAAATGTTTGACTTTCATTGTCAGATTTTATTGGAGTTCATAATAAGTATTCCTTTTACTATCTTTTTTTAATCTCTGAATTTTTGACTATGTTTTCCCATCATCCATATAAAGGATATTTATCTCTAAACTACCAATTACTCTTGGTTAATGACTCTCCAATTTTTTCAACTCAAATAACCTTTTGATCTTCCATGTAGATGAATGGGAAGAGGAGAAAGTAGAAGGAAAAATCATTGTCTCTTCTATATTTCTAGTTTTTCATATCTGTATTGGCCAGCCAAACACAAAAAAGTGCTTTGAACTTATTCTTACATATGGTATTAGGATGCCACTGTGCCTAATTTAATGTTTACCTTTGCTGAATATTCTTTCCTTGTTATTATACGAATTTGTTTTTGTTAAATGCTTGTCTATGAGGGGCTCATTTCATTCTAGTCCTGAGCCTGAATCATAGAGCAGACCTGAGTTAGACCTGGTCAAGAATATTTATCATAGATGGAAGAATAGATCAATATGACCTTTTCTCTGATCTCATGGTTGAAGTAGAGGAAAGGCAATGTAGGGCAAGGGGAACCCCTAGTATATGCCCTGATGTCAGGAGTCTTACATGCTGGGGCTACCATGCTTCTGGCTGCATGTAAGTCCTTTCAGTGGAAAGGGGAGAAGTTTCCACTGATTCAGTAAGATTAAGAAAACTGTACCTGGTGCATTTGGTAATTAGAAAAAGATGTGAATATTCTCTGGGTCTTTAAAAATTGCGATAAATGTAAAAAATTTTTTTTGTTGAATTTGCATAATTTTGTATTTGGGGAGCTTGTGATCTCAAGACCCACTAATTGTATTAGGCATGGGCCCTCTTTGAAGACTGTATTTTTGAGATTAAGAATTGTGCTGAATGGACTCCTTGACATATAAGAGGCCATTAAGAATCATACCATGTCGACTTTGGTGACATTCCGTACTTCAAGTGCTGGGGAAGGAACTTGAAAGGACCATGCTTGCACCTCTCCAGTACACCAGAGAACTTTCCAGATTATTCAGCTCTTTCATCCACAACTTCTCCTACAGCTTTTTTTTTTTTTGGAGAAAATAAGTACTAGCAAATCTCTGGAGCTGGTGTGTATAGACTTATCTTTGGAAGAAGATAAAAACATAAGCAACATCTAGCGGTAAAAGACCTTTTATCTTTCATTCTACATGCATCAGTCTATCAAGTAACCAAAAGGCTTTTACAAGTACTGAAGGTATTATGGGACAAATGGTTTTGTGTGTATTCCTGTTGGGATCCATTTTCATCAGAGTTGTGTTTTTGAGAACTTACTCAAGCTGATGATCAATATGGTAGGAATAAAAGAGTCTCAGAACCACACAACCTCATATCTATTCCCAAGGTACAGTCTGATCTTCTCTTCATGCCTGTTTTTTCCCCTTTGTGTTGCTTTTAGCTTTCCTTGCCAGTCTCAGATCAATTGGAGTGTTAGCACTCCTGATACTTATAAGGTAGTTCTACACTGCTGTATTCTTCTTCCATTATCTGTCTTTGCTTCCATCTTTTGTACATATATTTTAACAGAATTTTAAATGTAGTCAGGACAGGATCAGTCTCTAACTTATGAATACTTAGAGCCACACAAAACAGACTAGAGACAGGAGTGCCAGGAAACAAGTAGTAATTTAATTAATTACTTTCAGAGTGAGGAATGCTCTTACTTGCTGGCGTAAAGGAAGAGTTTATGTACATAAACACAAGTGGGAAAGGGGGGAAGGGTAGATTACAATCATTTCCAGGGACTGCATGGGTTGCCCATGACAAACCCATGAGTGCGGGACAATACAGGTGTTCTGGAGTCTTGTGGGAACGGTATTGTTTCAAGTCTTTGGGGGTCCTTACTTGGTAGGGTGCAGGACCAGAATTGTGACAGGAACAGGTTCTACAATCTTTGATTCACTTCACTTAACGTAAACAGGCACAGGAATGTAGTGATTGTGAGAGCATTGTCAAGGGTTTGATCATTTCAAGTTGCATTGTAAGCAGAAGAGGCAGCTCTGAGAAATCTAAATTAATAGTATATATGTTACACATATCATATGGATTAATATCCCTGTAATCTGTATGTTGGTTTTGCTGAACTTATTTTTTCTTTTTATAGGGACACATTCAGAAATGAGCTGTGTTTGGTGACTCATGCCTATAATCCTGTTATTAGGGAGTCTAAGACTGGCGTCTAAGTTCATATGTTCTGAGCTACAGTACAGCTAAGCTGATTGGGGTGCCAATATGATGAACCCCAGGAGCAGGGGTAGGGTGGGGGTGGAGGTGTGGGGGAGGAGACCGGGCTGCCTAAGGAACAGCAAACTGGCCCAGGTCAGAAACAAAGTGGGCCAAAGCTTCTTTGCACATCAACCTATGAGGAGCTGTTTCACTTCCAACGTGGATGAGATACGGAGACCTAATCAGAAGGAAATAAAGAAGAGAAAGAATGAAAAAAAAAGGCAGGAAAGAGAGGAAGGGAAGAAGGAAGAAAGGAAGAAGAGAAAAGGTAAGTGAATATCAATTTTTTAAAAATTAAGGAAAACTCCTTTTCTTCCTTATTTGAATTTGTTTCCATTTCTCAGAATTTCTTTTTTTTTTTGGCTAGGCAATGGGGTTAAGTGACTTGCCCAAGGTTACACAGCTAGTAAGTGTCATTTGTCTGAGGCCACATTTGAACTAAGGTCCTCCTGACTCCAGCACCGGCACTCAATCCACTGCGCCACCGAGCTGCCCCCAGAATTTCATTCTTGAGAACTTCCCAGACTTCCTGGCTTGACTTTTCTTACAGAATTTTAGTCCATGGGATCCTACTTTTCCTTCCTTTGAAACCTTTAATATCAGCTCTCCAAAGATCTAGATTACTTGCTTTATCTACCTTCTCCTTTTTGATGATCACATCTGCCTCCATGGTCTCAATTATTTTCTCTCTGTTTATGATTCCTAAATCCATATATCCATCTATATATCTTGAATCCTTCCTCCTACCTCACTCCCTCATATGCAGTGTATGTCCCAGCCAAATTGGTCTAATTGCTCTTTTCTGTATATGACATTCCGTGTTCTTCCCTATGCCTTTGCCCAGGCTGTATCCCCTTCTTGCCTCTTCCTTTTGGAACCTCTAGCTTCTTTCAAAGTTCCTTAATACTCTAGTTGTTTATATCCCTTCCCCTAAAATCACATTATATTGATTTTGCATTTATCCTATATTTACTTATGAATATGCTGCATTACCAGTAGAAAACTTAATATTTCTTTCGATTATTAACAAAACAAAAAAAAAACCCACAACAACAAAAATAACATTCCAAGAAAGGATTCACAGGCTTCATTAGACTGCCAAAGGGGTCCTTGAAAAAAAAGTTAAGAACCTCCCTACTTTAGGGCAATTAAAACTCCTCAATCTGGCATTCAGCAACCTTCTAAAATCTGGCTCCAAAGTACCTTTCCATACTTAACAGAAGCAATGTGGGGAAATGGATAGAGTAGGGAGGTGCCAGTGTCTTTTCTGAGGAGCAGCAAGGAGGCCAGTGTCACAGGATTGCAGGGTATTGGGGGTTGGGGTCTAGCATAAGAAATGTGGAGACAGAGACTGCAGGTTATGAAGGGATTTGAACAGCAAACAGAAGATTTTGTATTTGATCCTGGAGGTAACAAGGAATCACCTGAGTTTGAGTGTGTGTGTATGTACGGGGCTTGGGGGGGGGGGGGTTGAATGACTTAGGCTTTAGGAAAATCATTTTAGTGACTGATGGAGGATGGATTGGAGTGGGGAAGAGAACTGATGCAGGCAGACCCCATCAGCAGTCTACTGAAATACAGGTGTGAGGTGATGAAGACCTGCACTAGGGTGGTGGCAGTCAGAACAGAAGGGGAAGTATTGGAGAGATATTGCAAAAGTGAAATCTACAGACTTCCGAAACAGACTGGATTATGGGGGTGGGGTAGTGAGAGTGAGGAGTCAGGATGATACCTGGGGTGCAGCCCTCTTCTTAAAACATCTTCTATTCATTCTATGTGCAGCTGTATCCCTGCCAAAGGAGAAAGTAGAATCCCCCTGGAGGGACTGTTTTGTTTTCAACATAGGATTTTCTGAGCATAGCACTTCTCTTACACAAATGTGATTATATATGTGTATGTGTATGTGTGTATATATATACACACATACACATACACTATTATATATAATAGCATATATAAATATATAATCATTTTTATATATGAATATATGTACGTATGTATATATACATGCATATATGTATGAATGTGTGTGTCTCTCTCTCTCTCTCTATATATATACGTACATATATATGAAAGAGGCAACTAAGAATATACTTATGCACCAACACTTACACAGTCTCTCTCCACTACAACACATTCGAACTTTCTCAGTATCTATAAAACAAATCCATTTCCGGTAACACACTTTCTCAGTAGTCGATACACCAGTCCCTCCCCTCTAACACTCACACACACTTATCCACATACTTCCATAAAAAAATTCCTCTCCGCTAACACAGACATAAACTTTCTCACGCACATAGAACTTCTCACCGCCACTCACTTAAAAACTCTTTTCTGGCTTCGCACACTCACTCACTCATTCTCACTTACTCAGCGTCTCACCGACACACTAACCTGGGCTTCACCGTGAGCAACAGAAAACCCAACGGTCACAAATGGGAGGCGTGGGCCTGACTGCAACAAATTAGCCAATCCCAGCCAGGCAGGCTGTCGCTCGCGCCAATCCCAGCCAGGCAGGCTGTCGCTCGCGCCAATTCCAGCCCAGGCTCAGAGGGCTGGGTGCGGGAAGGGCTGGAGGAGGCGGGAAGGGGGAGGAGGCGGGGAGGGGGAGGCGTCTTCTTCCTCAACCGTAAGTTTCTTCCGGGACTCTGGAAAGTGAGCTCGAGTCCACTTCTGCGCATGTGCCTCCGGTTTTCAAACTTTCCCCCCCCCCCCTTTGCCGCGAGCTTGGCGGGTTGAGGGGACGGCTCTGAGAGTGCGTGGGAGCTTGGAGACACTGACCCGAGTGTCTGTGGCGTGTCCGCCCTTCGACTCCCCAGTCCACCAAGAGCATTCCGAGACGTCTCCCCTCACCCAGCGACCCGGCTTGGGTCGGCCAGCACCATTCGCTCCACACGCGTCGCCCCCTTCCCCACCACGGACTTGGGCCCATGAGGCCGGGGCCCTGTGGTGTGGCCATGGCTTCCTCTGACCTGGTAAGTCGGTGGTGGTGGTCGTTTTGAACTAACGGCTCTTGGCCGCGGTGGCTTTGGTCTAGGAGCGAAGGGGGCGGGGAGAGGGGCGGGCCCTGGGGCTGCCGCCAGGACTGCCCTCAGCCTCAGTTTACTGCTCTCTACGCTGGGCCTGGGAGCGGTCGGCTGGAGAGAGGGAGAGGGGGCGAGGGAAGCGGAGCTGAGGTACGGGCCGGCCCGCAGGGATGCCAGGACTGGGTGCCCGCGGGTGGAGCTGGGGCGGAGGCAGCCTGACAGCTCGGAGGAAAGGTCCCGGGGTGGCACGCCCCAGGCTGGTCCAGTCGTTGGGGTAGGGGTCGGGGGACCATTGCCCGCCTGACCCGGCAGAGTGTGAGTTACCAACCTTCCCTGGCTTCTGGCCTGATGCTTGAGTGAGACCTTAACTGAAGCTGCCGTCTGCCATTCATCTTTAGGGGGTGGAAGTGCCTGTTGAATGGCTTTTCACCTTCCTACCTGGTGGCTAGCAAACTCTTGTTTATAAAGCCCTACTACGGGCGGGCGGGGCCCTGTGCTAAGCACAGAGTAAACAAAGACGTTGGAAGGGGACTGAGCACATAAATTTATTATTTTGTTAAAGTTTTATCAATGGTTTGGAGTTTTATTTGGGATTTTGCCTGCCATATTATTTATTTCAGATGAAATTGTTAATTTTTTGGTCCGGACTTGTCTACAATTTTGCAAGCATTTATTAAGTGTTACTTATGCTAAGTGCAGGGAGTTCAAGTTCTACGGGGAGGGGGCGGGGCAGGAAACTACCTGCAAACAATTACATTCACCCACTCTATGTGGAGGATAAATTGGAGGTAATTAATTGAGGACTGGGACAGTTTTTTAATCTTTCTTTGTATTTCCCCATGCCTAGCACGTTGTAATCTGGGGAGAAATAAACGCCTTACTTATATTGACTTGATCACCTCTCCGGATTTCTGTGATACACTATGCTGTTAGCTTTCTAGTTAAAAACGGTTTTCACCTGCTACCATTCCCTGCAGATAGTACCAATACTTTCTTGCTTGTCTGCGTCCCCATCTGAGCTTCTTTCTCTTCCTTTTTCTGTTTTTTTAAATAAATTTTTATTTATCTTTTGTTTTTACATTGCTTAAATTTTTACCTTTTTCCCCTCCAAGAGACCTATCTCTTATTACAAACAATCGTTCCTTAGGACCAAAATGGTTTCCCACGACCCTTCTGCAGCCCAGTCTTTGGGGGTTGTGACTTGGCGGGTCGAAGGACCAGAGTTCAAGTGATGGGAACAGGTTCTACAGTCTTTGATTTGCTTCACTTAAGGTACACAGCCAGTGATTATGAGCATTGTATTTATTAGTATATTCATTACATATATCACATTAATTGATAAGAAAAATCATACTTCTCTTCACACTCCCTTGCTTCCACTTCCTTTCTGTTATTTCATTTTTCAGTCTTTTGTAGTTTGGCTTCTGACCTCATCACTTATAAACTCTTCTTTCCAAGGTTGCCAGTATTCTCTTAGACCTTTTCTTGGTCTTGTAGTGTTTGACATTATTGACAACAAGAGTTTTCATGATACTATGTTTTCCTGGTTCTCCCATCTGACTGACATTCTCAGTTTCCTTTGCTGAATCATCCATCAACCATGTCGGGCCCCCATGTGTGGATATATCCCCTAAAGCTCTGTCTGTCTAATCAATTCCCACAGATTCAGTTATGTCTATGCAGATGATTCCCAGATCTATATACCTTATGCTAATGATTATTTGTGTAAAGACATGGAGACAGGAGATAGTTTCTCTCCTGAGCTCCAGGCCTGTTTTACCAAATTTCTGTTAGATCCAGCTGGCTGTCCCATAGGAATCTTGGACTCAATGGGTACATAATGGAGCTCATTATCTTTCCCTCTAAACCCATTCTTTCTCTAAACTTCTCTATTTCTGTTGAGGACACTTTCTTCTAGTCACCCAGGTTTATCTTAGACTCATCCCTTTATCCTCAGTCATTTGGCAAGTCTTGTCAGTTCTATCACCACAACATCTCCATTTGTTCATCTGCTGTTCTCTTTCTTCCACATAAACAGACACTGTTCAAAGTAAGGGGACTCTTAAGCTCTCAACTGAATTACCACAACAATTTGACCTCTCAACTTTTAGTCTCTCCAAATTAACTGTCCAAATAATTTTCTGAAAGCACAAGACTGACCTTTTCAAAGCACTGCTTAAAAATCTTTCAGAGTTTCTTACTTCTATCAGGATAAAATACAAACTTGGTATTGTATCTAAAGCCTTTCATAGTCGGGTTCCATTTCTACATTTCCAGACTCATGTAAATTGCTTTATTTCCCTTCATGCATGGTATGTTCTAGCCAAATTGTCCTAGGTACTACTGTGCACTTAACTCTGAGTGCCATTCGTTGCTTCCCTGTCTTTGTAAAGGCAAATACCTCTCTGTCTGGAATTCACTTCTTCACCTTTGCTTCTTAGAATTTCCTGGCTTACCTCAAGCCTCAGCTCATATGGTACTTCCCACAGGAAGCCATTCCTGGTCTCTGCTGTGAGTACTTTCTTCGTCTTCAAATAATCTTGTATAAGACCTCCTTGTTTGAGGAAATTGGTATAGGAAAAAGTCCACCTAAAATGAATCAACTTAAAGCAGAGAATAACATTTCTTTGTAAATAACATGAAAAAGTACTGTTGGGATTTTATCTTTAAAAAACAAAACTGAAAAATTCTGAGGATGTTTGTTTTTTCTTAAGTTTAATAATTTGTCTCTAATTCTTAGAATGAACAAAGAACAAATGAACGAAGAATTAATCAAATGGTTTTTTAGGCGTAATTTTTTTCGTGGAATTCTAATAGCATAGTAGGATTTTACTTATTTTAATTTTTTCTACCACTTTCATACAAGAATCATAAAGAGGGTCATTGTTACATAAATATTCTAGAGCTTCATCATCTGGGCATTAGAGGCTAGGGCCTCTCTTTTCATATTGAAATCATTCTCTTTTGAAAACTTTTTGGACAATCATTGATTGACAAAGACATTGACTATATGAATGCTAAGGATAACCACTGGTTTTAAGAGAGAGATTGAAGAGAGCCTAATTTTTTAAGTGGTAAGTTCTTTAGTGAATATCTTTGTGTTTTGAGGCTTTTGCTTCCTCAGAAAACTTTGCAACATTATTTCTAGGCAGTAGTACCTAGAGAGTTGGCCTCATCATCAGTAAGACCTGTATTCAAGTTATACCTCTGACAGAGCAGGTCACTTAACCTTTCAGTACTCCAAACAATTTTTTTTTAAGACTGTGACTTGCATGGGGAGAAAGGTGATTCAGGCATTGAATACTCTGACAGTGAGAACCTCCTGATATCTGTGTTCCTGCTATATTCACCCACTAAAATGTAAACGTGTTCAGATTTGGCTCCCAGTATAGTAAGGACTCTGATAAAGTAGATAATCTAGAGGATTGAAATCAACACGAGTCCAAGTCATATGAATATCAGTTGAAAGAACTAGGGATGTTTAGCTTGGAGAAAAGAAAACTCTTCAAACAGCGTAAACTCTTCAAATAGCTGTCTTCCAGTACATGAATTAGACTTATTTTGTTTGGCTAAAGAGGGCAGGGCCAGGAGCAAAGGGGATAATTTTGACTTTTTATAAACAAACACTTTATAACAATTGGAGCTATCCAAAAATGGAATAGTCTGCCTCAGGAGGTGGAGGGTTCCCTTTCATTAAAAATCTTTTGAAGTAGAGTCTGGAAAACTACTTGTCAGTTATGTTGTAGTGGAGGATTCTTTTCAGATGTTGGTTACATTAAGGGACAGCTAAAGTCCTGATTTTCGTTCTCAGATTTTGTGAACTCAGGTTTTCCAGCCCCAAGTCCATCTCTGTTTCCTTCACCACACATACCTGATGTTATGTCAGTTTTAGGAAACAGTGATGGAAACTAATTAGGCATAACTTTTCTGACAGAATCATGTAATAGCATAGTAGCATTTTACCTATTTTTCCACTTAACTTTAGGAGCAGAGTCATAAAGAGAGTCAATTGTTACATAAGTATTCTAGAGCTTCATTATCTGGGCCTTAGATTCTAGGGACTCTCTTAATCCTTTGATATTGAAATCATTCTCTTTTGAAGACCTTTTGAATAATCAGTGATTGAGAAAGACATTGACTAGATGGATACTAGAGATAGCCATTGGTCTTAAGAGGGAGATAAATACTTGAAGAGGGTCTAATTTTTTTTTTTTTTTTTGTATTGGAAAGTCTAGTAGCCCTGTTTAGCTAGATAGATAGTATAAAGAGACTACTGTGAAAAGACCACAACTTCATGTTGGAGTTGCTGATAATTTTTGAACAGAGAAAAGACATAGATCTCTGCCTCACTGAGATTATTTTGTCAGCTACATGGAAATTTGAAAAGGAGAGAATGCTGGGAGGGAGACCAATTAGGAAGACCAATTGGAAAACCAGTTACAGTAGCTCAGAGGAGAGGTAATTAGACCTTTGTCTGAACTACTCTGAAAGTGGATATAATGAGTGTAGAAAGAAGGGAACTGCTGGTGTTTGAGGTGTTGTGGAAGTAAATTTGGCAGATTATGACTACTTTGAGTGTGGGAGTGGAGGAAAAACTCTTTAGGATAGGAATTCTTAACATTTTTTGTATCATGGACCTTTTTGCCAGTCTTACGAAGCTAAGATCCTCTTCTGAGAATGTTTTTAAATACACAAAATTAAATACATAAGATGGTAAAGGAAACCAGTTATATTGAAATAATTATCAAAATTTTTAAAAAGTTCACAAACTCTGGATTAAGAGCCTCTTCTGTAGTATGACTCCCAGGTTATATATTAGGATGACTGGGAACATGACTAGGAAGACCTTCAACAAAAATAGGGAGATAGGAGCATTTAGAGGAGACCAATAAGGAGAAGTCATGTCAACTTGTCATATGTGATCAATTTAAATAATTATTTACAATTCAGCTGTATTTTTTTTAAACAATTCAAATATTAAATCTAGGTAAATAATTTACTTTTTCTTTTTTCTTTTCCAGGATCACCTGAAAATTAGCTACAGAACAAGATTTTGCTATACTTCTAGGTGATGTTTTATAAAGGCTTTTATATTTTTTCATATCAAACTTTAATGAATAAATTCATTTGTTTTACTGAAGGACTATATTGTAGGAGTTTTTAAATTTAAGATTTGTTTAAAATTTTAATATTACTTATGACTGGGAAAATGTTTTTAATTTAGAGTCAGGTCTCAGTTATTCACATTAATAGAAGGGAATATTACCATCTAATTACTCTTCTACTCAGTAAGTATTTATTTGTACAGTGGAACAAATATTGACTTTAGTTCGTGGACTTAGGTTCAAATACTACCTATATAACCTTGACCTAGTCACAACCTCTTTGAGCCTCAGAAGTTTCCTTATATTACAAATGTAAAGAGTTGGACTAGAAGACCTTTGAAGCCCCTTTTATCTCACTGATCCTTTTAAACAGTTCTTGTAAGAAATGCAGAATGATACTCTTCCTTCCCACAAGGAATTTATATTCTAGTAGAATCCATTGGCAGGAGCCCTGGATTTGGAGTCATTGGACTCAAATTGGAATTCTAAATCAGTGACAGTACTACCTGTGTGACCTTGGTTGGATAAAGCATGTAAACTCTCAGAATCTTCATTTTATGATTTATAAACTGAGCAGGTTGGACTAGATAATTTCTAAAGTAGTTATAAGTCTGGTGATTTTAGGACTTTTTTAGTTAAGTGAAAGTTTTAGTAAGTAGCAAAATTTTCCTTTAATGATATATGAATTCATATGGTCCTTTACATAAAATAATATAATATTTAATTTCTGAATTTAGTACTTTAGATACTGAACTTTAGATCTTGAAGTACTTTTTTCAAGTATTCATAAAGTAAGGATGCCAATGTCTTCCTAAATGAATTTATTTAAGAATTTTAAAGTAGAGCAGTGGAATCTTGGCAATAAATGACAATTTACATGTCCTAAGCACTCTCCTTTTATCTCTTTCTTTTACTATAGGGTTCCTGATACTGATCTATGGCAAGGTCCAAACATACTGGAAAACATACAAGACTGTTTTGAAGAAAAAAGTAAGCCTGTATTTCTAATTTATATGTGGAGATGGCTGGAACAAATGAAGATTTAGCTTATTTTAATGTTAAAAATAAAATGTTTAAATGAACATATTTGTAAAAATGCTTTTCTTTGATTTAAAGAGTATAATATGAAATTCACTGTTTTGCCAGTTGATATTTGTACTTTTTTACATGGTACTCAGTGAATGGGGATGACTTTTGTATTTGGATTTCACCTCCAAGTTCTTGATCCAAGTATTTAACTACTTTTGAAGGTTAAGAGTTAAGATGATATAATAAGGCTATGTGGGGAAAAACAGAAGCAGAAGTTCTATTTCTAAAGTTTACAAAAGAAGAGATGTCTCTTCTATCACCAACCATTTCCTCTGCTACCTTTCTCGTCCCAATCCCCTCAACACAGCCAACATCAAGGAAAAGTGTTGCAACATAAATTATTCTTTGTTTTTTCTTTGGAGAGATATTGCAAATCGTAATAATATGTCTGGCAACTATCAAAAAGCTACATCCATTCTTTTAATGCTTTTTTACATATGTGTACATATGTTCACATTGGATTAACATAGTTTAGTTGTATGTACAACCTTCAAAAGTAAGTACTTGGATTTGCTTTACACTTAAAGGCTTATACAGAGATAGCTGTTTTTGGGTTTAAAATTACATGAAGTGTATCAAAAAGTACATTTTAATCATTTACATGGTATTTTAAATTCTAAATTTTAGACTCTTTTTTAGGTTCTGATACTGGCTTTAACACAAATCCTGGAAGTCCAACTCTTTGTTCTACTCCTTGCAAATTAAGAAATGATTCTTATTCATCACCAAACAAAGAGGTAAGTTAAAAAGGTAGTGGTCAGTATTAATTTTAAGGAATGGAATTTATGCTCCAGCAAAGTTATAAGGCTTATTTTTTCAAAATTGGTCTGGTTTTTCCATTGACTTTATGATAAAATTCTGTATGTTTTATGAGGGTATAGGAGCAAATAGATTCTGCATGTTTCAGTTGTATATTATATATCTGGAATTAATGTGCAACACAGGAGAGCTCATAGTGGGAGCAAACATCCTTTCTAGAGGAGTATATATATCCTTTCTAGAGGAGTAGGGTGGGTGAGATGTTGGTGATATGGGAAGGTCATTATACTACTGTCGGGCCAACCAATCTGCTTATCTTGTGACTGTGCTACTTAAAATTAGCTTAATAAATCATCAATTAGTTTCCATTTTAGAACATTTTATTGATATCTATTTTTTTACATTGCTTAATTTCCCCTAGTCTTTTTTCACACCCTGTCCTAGAAAATTATCCCATATAAATAAGAATTTTTTAAAAAGTTAAAAACAAAGGCAAAAAAAACAAATGTAACATCAATTATTAAAAAAAACAAACAAACCTTGACGTTATATGCAAATGTTCCATGATTGTAGACCTCCCACCTTTGCAAAAGAGTTGAGGAGGTACCTTCTAACATATCTTCTTTGGGAACATGCTTATTAGTTATAATTTAGCAATTTTTTTTTTTTGGTGGTTCTTTGCATTTACATTGTTGTAGTTATGTTTTGTATCATGTGTATGTTGTTTTCTTGTCTCTGCTACAGTTTCTTGCAGCATGGTCATATTTCATTCCATTCATGTACCACAATTTGTTTTGCCATTCCTCATTTGATAGCTATCTGCTATGAGCACTGAATTATTTAATAAGAAATAATAATTTAATATATTTAATATTTAATTATTTAGGTTTTTTATTTCTTTAAGGAGTTCTTTCTAATTGAACCTACACAACTTTTCCGTGCTTTGATAGATTGACTTGAGTATCTTATGTATTTTTTAGTTAGTTTGAATGATTTCCCTTTCTACTGTTGCCTATTAGATTTTATTGTTATTATGTAGAAATGCACATTTAAGGCAATATTGATGGAGCTATGAATTGGTCCAGAGATTCTGGAAGGCAATTTGAAACTATGCCTCAAAAGTCGCTAAACTTAGTAGACCCTTTGACATAGGCATACCCCTACTAGGCCTATACCCCAAAGGATCAAAAACAAAAGGGACCCATATATACAAAAAACATTTGTAGCAGCTCTTTTTGTAGTGGTGAAGAACTGGAAACTAAATGGAATGGCTGAACAAATTATGATATATGAATGTGATGAAATACTATTTTACTTTAAGAAATGACATCAAATCAACCTAGGAAAACTTATATAAGCTAATGTAAAGTATGCAGAACATGGAGAATAATCTGTAGAATAACAACATTGAAAAAATAAACAACTTTGAAAAACTTAATAGTTCTTATCAATTCAGCAACCAACCATGTTTCCAGTCAACCAGTGATGAAGCATGATACCCACTTCCTAACAGAGTGGTGATGATACACAATGAGAAATAAATTTTTGGATGTGACCAATTATGGGAATTTGTTTTGATGATGCATAGTAGTTACAGGGTTTTGTTTTTCTTTCTTTTTTTTTTTTTTTTGGAGGTGGGTTGTGTGTGATAGGGTTAAAAAATAAATGCTAATTGAAAAAAATATTAGAAACAAGCTGTATTTAAAAGAGATTTGGAGATACATAAATGATCATCTTTTCCTCCTGTTTTATTATAAACAGAATTAAACTGGTTTTTTTCCCTTCTGGTATTTATTTATTTATTAAGTGCAGAATAAAAACAATAAAATTAAGGCTTCCTAATTTTTTGGGTGGACTCTCTGTAAGAATCAAAGAATGAGAAGACGTGGATAGTAATCAGTCTGTTTTGGTGGAAGTTATGGTACACTGATGAGATCAGAGATCCATCCAAATGTTATGTATAGAAGAATCAGATATATAGAACTTTCCAGTTGATTGCCATGTAAACCTCTTTTAATATATGTAATAAAGAATTGTGTTACTTCACCTGTTCCTTCCATTTCATCAGTGTTAATAGAGCACTTTTAAGGTATTTTAATTTTAATATATGTATATTAAGTTGATTCTCAGGGTAAATTAACATTTACAATAAAATCTTGAGCAGGGATTCTTAACCTAAAGATGGGAATTAATTCTTAACCTTAAAGTCTATGAACTTTAAAAAAAATTAACTGTTTCAATGTAATTAGGTTTATTTACAGTCTTATGTATTTTATTTTGTGGATTTAAAAATATTCTGAAAAGATGTCATAGATTCACCAGAAATTTGTGTGTTATGGGTCCATAACACACAAAAAGGGTTAAGAACCTCTGATAAAGAATCAACAGTCCTCTTTTAAGAATGGGTAACTTTGGCAAATATATTTGGTCAAAATTGGCCTTTTAGTTTAGATTTTTAAATATTATTTTTCAATAGACTGAAATTTTCTTCTTTTTTTCTGTTCCTACACAGTGCCATATATCATCTTCAAAGTCTGATAGGATTTCTTCAATGAAAAAGAAAGCTAAAACCTCAGCCTTTTCACCGCAGTCTGTTATGTTACAAAATCAAACGAGTAACAGTTCAGGTTGGTAATAATTATGTGGATGGGGAGTGGAGTAGGGAATATTTTTTGAAACCTGCACTGAATTCAGGATTGGCCCTAGTCAAAATTTTGAAAAAGTCCAAGTTTAACTTAGATTCCAGATCCTCTGTTGAAACCTATTATTACCTTTTGCCTTGTCCTCTGTACCTTTCTATTTTTGCTCTGCAGAAATGTTAATGCTTTTAAGTGTCTTAAAGGATCTTTGGGAGCCTGCCTTGATTTTTTCCCCCCTTTTTTTCTAATCTTTTGTACCCAGAACAAAAAGTTTAAAGGATCATTCTCCTTGGAGCCCTCTGCTGAGGTGTGTTCAGCTAGACTTTGATTTTATTAAGTTTTAAAGGAAGAAAGGGAGATGGGGAGGTAACTTATGGGTAGTCATTTTTCCTAAGTAAATAAGAAAATAAAATGCTAGCATTCTACTCCTGAAAAGTTGCTACCTGTGACATTCACATGGATTCAACAATAATTCTTAAGGGACATAATTGATGGGAATTAATTCTATAAATTGAAAGTTTATAAAACAAACTAAAAGAGTGCTTCATTTTATTATATGGGTTGGAAAATCTGATATGCGAATAAATCATTTCATTTAAAACAGGCATTTTTAAAGTTTTCAAGACTTAAGATGTTAGTCTTTTGAAAATATTTCTGGGTTACTGAGTTTTATGTTATTTTCATAATAATATGAAAGTTCTTTCCTTAGTTAATAATTTTTTCTTAGCACCATCCCCTGAGGTCCCTCCAAAATTATCACAAGGTGATGTAATTGGTTTGAAGAATATACCAAAATTAAGATATGCTTCAAGTGGAGCTGAAGAATTTAATAAAATTCCTAATGAAGTTCTGGAAGAGTTTTATTTAACAGTTGGATCACCTGGTCTTTTGGCCAAGGAAACAGAGATATTGCCATTACCTCAGCAAGCTACTCCTACTGCACATGATGGGCGGAGTCGTATGTTTCGAAATTCAGTCATCCAACAACCTTTGCTTCCCAAATCGAGTCTTAAAGCTAAAAAGAGGTAACCTTTTTACGCTTCTCAAATGGCATTTTCTTTTCACATTTTGTCTTTTACAATAACAGATTTTGAGAAAAAAAAGTAATACTTCTGTATTAGTGTCTTTAAGTTCTTCAGTAGGAAGAAAGAATGAGACCTTTGAATGAAAATAAATTGCAGCTTAAAATTGTGGTACAAAAGAAAAGAACTGTGGCATTTTGGCTACATGTGTTATGCAAAAGCTTGAAAATTTTTTTAAAAATTAATTTAAAGATTTAGTATACCCTTTAATAATTGGATTACAGTGTAGTTGTGGAGAGAATAATTTCAGAGAAGTTCTGAAATGAAATTTATGATATTATCTAAAATTCTAATCTTTGCTTTTGAATGTTCACATAGACATATATTTTCACAAGTTATACACACACACACACACACACGTTTTATTTTTTGTAATCCATAGCTTAAACTGTGAAGATATAGCAGTTTGGTCTGCCTTGAAGAAAGGAGAAAAAGATGTTAAAGTGTCAGAAGGACGACAAAAGAGGAAACAATCAGAATCTTCTGAGCAAACAACACAAGATCCAAAACAGAAAATTCAACAAAAAACTGAAATGAGTTTTTCGACATTACTTTTAGAAGCAGCAAAAAGGAACTGTAGAAACAGGTGAGTTAAAATTATGATTTGAGATGGAAAAATAAATGTATTTTATTTAAAATTCTGTAACAATTATTGGAAATTTACTATTTCCATCTAAAATTAGCATATAATTCATCTTTTTTCAGGGAAACATTAGTTCAATGTAAAAATGCAATGTAAATTTTGCTGTGAGGACATGATTCCTTTTTACTCAGAAGTCAGGAAAATTCTGAGTTTTAAAGGTATTAGGTAATTCCTCTGCCTTCAAGTAACTTGCAGTCTTTTATGGGTGATAAGATGTTTTTATAAATATGTAGAACCAAGAGAACATTGTTTCCAGTAACAGAAATATTGTTTTAAGGACAGCTTTGAGCGAATAAGTTATTTTGACTATTATAAATACCCAAATTAACTACAAAGGACATATGAAGGAAGAAGCTATCTGCATCCAGAGAAGGAATTGATAAATAGAAATATGTATAGAATGATTTTACATATAAATATCACACACATATTTGTATCTAATAGTAACCATGTCTAGGGAGGCAGGGAGAGGGGAGGGAAAAAAAGGAAACTTATATGATAACTTTTATATATTTTAAAAGAATAGCAAGTTGTACATAAATAGATTTGTAGTTTCATATAGTCATTTTTAAAAATTATTATATGTTTTGGGAATGCTTGTTCCATAAATTAAAAATAAATAAAAATTTAAAAATTGTAGAGTATTTAGAACATAGGAACTACCTAAGAAAATTTCCACAATCAGGTGAAATGGAATTTCTAGTTTATGGAGGGGAAAGATCATTGAAGGGGCAGTTAGGTGGCACAGTGGATAGAGCACTGGCCCTGGAGTTGGGAGGACCTGAGTTCAAATCTGGCCTCAGACACTTGACACATTAGCTGTGTGATCCTGGGCAAGTTACTTAACCCCATTGCTTAGCCAAAAAAAATAAAAAGAAATGTCAGCTGACAGGGACAGCTAGGTGGCACAGTGCATAGAGCACCAGCCTTGAAGTCAGGAGGACCTGAGATCAAATCCTGGCCTCGGACCAAATACTTCACACTTATTAGCTGTGTGACCCTGGGCAAGTCACTTAACCCCAATTGCCTGAAAAAAAAAAAAAGATCATTGAAGGTTTTGTGGGAGTGGTGGCATTTGAGTTGAACCTTGAGGATTGGTAGCATACCATAAAGGCAGAGATGAGGGATATCTTTTAAAAATCTCTTAAATTACAGATGGAGGAGAAGTATCTTTCTGACTACTCATTAGACATCAGAGGCTGAAGGTGAGATGTGGAGATAAAACAAAGTGCATTTTCCTAGCACAGGCATGAAATTCCCCTCTTATCAGCTAATCTTTCAGTTCCATCGTGATACTTTTCTGTAAAAAAAAAAAAAAAAAAACCCTCTGGCTTTCAGTTGTATATAATATAGCATTCAACCTTCAATCTGAAACTGAAACTTTTTATGACCTTTCCTGATGCTACCTGTCCAACTTTTATTTTCCTTTATACCTTAACACTAAATCTTTTCCAGTTAAACTGTTTTGCTCTGTGAATTTTTTGACTTGCTCATACTGTTGTCTCTATTTCCTTGTTCCTTGGGATGTATTGGGATATTACATCAGGGCCAGACTCTTCGCTCTTCCCGTTTCATTTTTCTTTTGTATGGGATGATAAGCTCTGCTTGATCTCACTCTGGGTCATCTGGGTACTGGAGCTGACCTTTACTCTCATTGCTGAATGCTGGTAGTTTTTAGTCCCTGCTGAGTCTTCAGGATCCTCTATGACACCTGAGGACAGAGTGCTATGTGTCTCAGAGCTTTTGGGCTTAGGATGGCCCAGACTAGTTACTGGCTCTACTGGTCACTCTGAGTGCCCATTTTATGAATTTTCAGTGCCCCTAGGCCTTTCTCATAAAAGCCTTTTGCTCGTTTTATTTTAAAAATGAAAAATTTTTTGTTTACTTAAACTTTTACTTTCTTTCCCTCCTTGCCCTCATGGAAGGACAGGGAAAAGAAACAAAACTTCTGTAATCAATATTCATTGTAAAGCCAAACAAATTTCCACACTGCCCATATCCAAAATTGAGTATCTTTATCTGCAACTGGGTGCATTGTTTTTTTGTTAGGAGGTGTGTAGCATTTTTCACAGTTTCTGGGATTGTGGTTGATTATTACATTGATCCAAAGTTATTGAGTCTTTAAAAGATGTTTGTTGTTATAGTGTTATTGTTGCATAAATTGTTCTCTTGCTTGTGCTCATTTCATTCTGCATCAGTTCGTGTAAGTCCCTCCAGTTTTCTCTGAAACACTCCTTTTCTTCATTTCTTGTGGCATAGTAGTGTTACATTCATATACCATAATTTGTCCAGCCATTCCCCAATTGATGACCATCATAATTTCTATTTCTTTTCTACTACAAAAAAATTGCTCTAAATATTTTGTATGAGTGCTTTTACTATGTAACAATGGATAGATAACATAATCAGGAAAACCTGGATTCAAAATTTAAATCATACCTCAGGTAGTTATTAATGTGATTCTGGGCAAGTCACTTAATTTTTTCAGAATCAATTTCTTCATCTGTAAGTGGGGTTAATTATAGCACCTACTTCTTAGGGTTGTTATGAGGCTAAAATGAGATACCATACAAATTGCTATATAAAATCCTAGTTATCACTTAGGCATACAGGGAATGAAACCCAGCTTGCAAGGAGCTTTCACAACAGGTATATACCTCTATTTATATCTGCATATTCTTATGTAAATATGCATATTGCCATGTAAAATCCTAATTGTCATCATCATCATTATTATTCCATTTGTCTTCTGGGAACATAGTTTTTGGGGTAGTGGTATCATGACTGGGTCAGAGAGTTTACACAGTTCAATAACTTTTGGGGCGCACATCTAAATTGCTTTCCAGAATGACTGGACCAATTTGCATCTCACTCAACAGTACATTAATGTGCCTATTTTTTTCACAACCTTCAACATTTGTCATTTTTTTTTTTGCCAACTTTGCTAATCTGTTGAGTGTGAGGTGGAACTTCAGAGTTGCTTTCATTTGTATTTTTCTGATTACTAATCATCTGCCTTTCTGCTGAGAAGAGAGGTATATTTGAGTATCTGTTCTTTGGGGGCCATTAGTGGTTTCCCATTACATAGGATTCAGCTACATGTTGAGTCTGAATTATCTCTGGCTCATCCACTTTGAAATGTCCCCTAGTCAACTCATGCTGCAGCACTGCAGCTCAGAGAGACTGACTGGGGTTAGATATAGCAATCTCTGATTGATAAACGTGGAAGTGAGTGTTAAATATGAGAGTTTATGAGGTTATTGAGAGAAAAGAGAAGTCCTGGCACAGAACCTTGGGGAATGCCCACAGTTAGGAGGTATGATTTGGATGATGAGCCTGCAAAGGAGAAGGGGCAATCAGAAAGCTAGAGAAGAACCAGTAGAGATTAGTGGGACAAAAACCAAAAGATATGAGAGTATCTTGGTAGAGAGCTTGGTCAGCAGTGTCAAATGCTGCATATAGGTCAAGTTGGATAAAGACTGAGAAAAGACCATTAGATTTAGCAATTAAAAGATCATTGTTACCTTGGGAGAGAGCAATTTCATGAAGTGATGAGGTCAGAAGTCCAGTTGCAAAGTGTTGAGAAGTGAGGGAGAGAAGTAGAAACTACTTGTGTAGAAGACTTTTTTAAAAAGTAGTTTGGCTGAGAAAGTAGTAGAGAGATAGTATGATGGCTTGATGTGATAGTAGGATGTATGAAGGTTTTTTAAGAAAGGGAGAGACCTGCATATGTATTAAGGTAGTAGGGAAGGAGAAGTTGAAGATTGGAGAGTAGAGGGGATTGAAGTTGCAATTTGCTCAAGATAGGGTGGGAATAAAGACATATGAAGAGAGGTTGACCTTGGCAAAGAGAAAGTCTATCTTGTTTTACTAAAGGAAAGGAGATGCAAGTGATTGGCAGAAACTTGAATGGACACAATTTTCTCAGTAAAGTAAGAAGTGAAGTCCTCAAGTAAGATAAGGAAGAGGACATGGGGGAGATTTGGGAAACTTGAGGGGTGGTGGAAGCAAAGGTCAGACAGGAGGTCAATTAAGGGGGACTTAAAAGGGCCTGGTTGATGTTGTATAATATGAATTTATAATATATCTAGTCAGCACAGATGTGAGATTTCTCCATTTAAATAGATCACAGTTATATAATTATTCCATAAAGAAGCATATGTCTGCTTATCAGAATTAAGTACTTTGGTGCTTAATATCTAATTCTACAGATGGTTATTTTGGTTACTTAAAGCTATGAATTGGGAAAAAAATTCCTTTTATTTTGATCTGTGAAATAAACTTCAAATAGGCTTTTTACATTTTATATAGGAAAAATCAGTTTATACTGCAAATTAATAACACAAACATTTCAGTAGAAACTTTCTACTTGCTTAAGAACAAAATTCCTGTATTTAATTCAGCGAATATTTTTGAGCACCTACTATTTTTTTTAACCACTGTTTTAGATCTTGTGGAGACTACAAAAGATGAATGACATGGTCAGTATTCCCACACTTTCTCAGTAGTTAATAATCATGTTGGGCAGACATGACTTGAAACACATGAAAAACAATATAAAATAGTATGCAGTAAGGTACTAAAATGAATTTAATTTGATTTAACATTACATTTAACATGTCATCACATAACATAACATTAAAGTGCTAAGGCCCAAACATCACTAGGATACTACACTAGTGACCTCTTTCGAAGTTGACTTTGAAACATTAATGACTACTCTTTGGGTCAGCAGTTCTGAATCCACCCAGTTATACTTATTGTCTAGCCCATATCTTTCCATCTTGTCCACAAGAAACTTTAGCAATAATACTGTGATAAAATCTAGCTACTATTCCTTTGATTTACCAGTTTAATACAGACAGAAATAGAAATAACTTAATCTGGTATGTTCTTGATAAAGCCATGTTGACTCTTTGTAATCACTGCTTCCTTTTGTAGATATTCACTAACCCTTTAGCAACATATTCTAGATTTTTGCTAGGATTAAAAATTAAATTTACTGGCCTAAAGTTGGAGAATTCCATTCTCTTGTGTTTTTTGGAAATTGGGACAGTATTTTTCTTTTTGTAAGCCTTTAGTGTTTGTGTAATTCTACATAGTCTTTTAGTGATCCCTGGCAGTGGCTTAGTAATCATATTTGCCAATGTAGTTCCTCTGAGCCTTCTGGTTTGAATTCAAAAAGCAGTTAGACTTTTTCTTCCTATTTGCCTACCTATCTTACATATAAACATCATAATAAACATGCCATTTTTTTTCTTTCTGCCATCTTCTCTGACTACTGGTGCCCTTTCTTCATTCCACCTATTATAATCATATTCATTCTATCCCATGCCATCCTAATCACGGTTGAGCACAGCACAAGCCCCATATCCTCAATAAAACTGACTATTCCAGGCCTAAGGTCTTAGGACTTTTTTGCCTCAGTACAGCGATTTAGTGAAACAACGTCATTTTATAGACGAGACAGTTGAGTTCCTGGGGTGTTAAATGAATTCGTGCAGATGAAGCAGCTAATAAGTTTCTGAGGCAGGATATGAACCCAGGTCTCCTGACTCTAAAGATAGTTTTCCTTTCACTTGGACTATGCCTCTTCTCATTTGGAATTATTTCCTTCTTACCACTTTGGAAATTCTTCATTTTGTTCTTAAGAACTTCCATTATTGAATTTTGGGTCATCGAATCTCATCTTTCTTTTAACCCTTTGAAATTTGTATTCTTAAAATCTAGAGTTCATATCAAATTGTGTCCAGTTTTCCTGTCATATCTATTAAGATGGAGTGGTTACTTCCATTCAAGGTTTCCATCATTTTAATTCTAGCAAACCAATTTTTTCTTGTTGATAAGAATCAGATCTATAGTAGAATTTCCTCTTGTTTGGTAGTTCCACCTTTCGGAGGATGAAACTATCATTAAAACACAGCAAGAAATTATTAGCACCTCTTCTTTTGGCAGAGGGCTCCCAAATGTCTGAATATTTGAGTATAATTAACATCATTCCTTCCATTATGGGTTGGGTGGAGGGAGAGGAATGCTTAAAAAATAAAGGTATAGTAACCCTTGCCTCTAGTTTCTTTTTTGTTCCCATATTCCATACAGCCACTAATTGTTATTTTTAAAGTACAGGTGTGACCGTGCCATTTCTCTGTTAAAGAACCTTCAATGGGTTCCCTGTTGCCTTTAGGATAAAACACGCACATTTAAAAACCTGTATAATTTGCCTCTAGCCCATTTTTCCAAATCAGTTTCACTTCATTCTACCTCATATACTCTATTTCAGCTAAACTGCCCTACTTGCTTGTACTATGTGCTACATTATTACTCCCTTCCATGCCTTTGTACAGGCTGTTCTATGTCTGGAATGCCTTCACTCTTCACTCTTCCTTCTTGGAATTCCTGTCTCTCTTCAAAGCTCAACTTAAGTGCCACCTCCTTTACAAGCCTTTACAGAGTACCCCCTCACTTGTTATTATTAATTATGTTTCAGAATAGTATATAAGAGCATAAGAGATGTTAAAAATGCTTTCTGAGACCTGGAGAAGAATACCTTTGACTAGGGAGGTTGTGGTGATGGGGAGGATCAGGAAGGCATCATGTGAGAGGTGACCTTTGTTCTGATTCCAAAAGGATGGGTGAATTTTGTGTTCTGAATATATTATCTTTCTGATACAGTTTAATGTTGTTTTTTTTTTGTCTTTACACTTTTTTAATATGACACAGTATTAAACTTTTTTAATATGACACAGTATTCCCTGTTAGTTCTGTCCTTAGGCATGTGTCATCGCCACAGATCCATTCTCCTTCTCCCCTTTCAAATGACTTAGAATCATCAAATGATGAATTTATAATTGATGAATCAGATTGCTCTTTCTCTCAAAACTGGATTTTAATACCTAACAAGAACAACAAGCCTGTGAAACAGAGCAAGACAGCTCCAGTGGAGAACTCCCAGGACCCAGAAAGAAAAAAGTCAAGGGCAGAGCAACAGAAAGGAGAAAAATGCAGCTCAGCAAGTGATAAACACCCTAATGCAGAGAATGGAATTTCAGATGTTATTAGTGGAGAGAAGACCTCAAAATCTGTAAAACATAAAGCTCGAACAGTGGAGAAATCACAGTCCTCTAAAAGAAAAAAATCAGACAGTTTATCTGGTGAAGTGGAAAATGCTTCTGAATCCACAAGACATAAAATATATTCTGAGGAATCAGAACAATTTTTGGAAAATAAAAAGGCTGTTGTGCAACGCCAGAATGAAAAATGTGAGACCCAAATAGATAATAGACAGTCTGATGAAGGTCTAGTTAATTTTGCTGAAGAAAACCAAGATAGTTTCCACAGTGAGCAAAATATTGCAGAAGTAGATACTGCCTTAAGAACTACTAAATCCAAAACTAACTCAGTGGAGAAATCACAAACTACAGAAAGAAGAAAGTTCAGGAAACGCCAGAATAGAGAATACAAGTGCAAAGTAGGTGTGAAGCAGCATGGCATAGAGCAGACCAAGAAGAGAAGATTTAATGTGTCACAAACAAATCAAGACGAGCTACAAAGGAAGTCTCACAGAAGTTTGGAAAAACGGGAAGAAAGAGCAGAATCTTGCCACTCTGCAGAACAAACACTGTCTGCTGCTGGTAAGTGTTTGCACATGGTAAGGAAAATACAAAGATGAAAGTATAGTCACACTTTGCCCAACAGGAACTGAATTGGAGAACTGTAAGCAATCAGTAAAGCCTTCTCAGTATGAATGAGAGGCATCATAGTATAGCGGAAAGGCAATAAATTGGGAGTCCGAGGGCTTGTGTTAAAATCCTAGTTCTGCCACTTAATACTTATTGGATGGTGGCTAAAAGTCACTTAACCTCCCTCAACCTCCTGATGGCTATTTCGGTTGAAAGTTTTCTAGCTTACCTTTTGAGCTTTATAATACATTCTTCTTTATGCATTCTATAATACGGCTGAGCTAGCCTTCTTGCTGTTGTTCCCATAGGACATTCTTATCTCCCATAAACTTGCCTTTGTACTGGTTTTACATCTTTTCTGGGATGCATTTCCTCATTGACTTCATCTATTAGAACCTCAAGTTATTTTCAAAACTTAGCTATTGTTATTGTTGTACATGAAGGCTTTCTTGTGCTACCCCCTCCCCCAGCTGCTAGTTTTAGTGTCATCATCCTCTCCCCATCATATATTTATTTTATGTGTGTTTTGTATGTGCTTATTTGTATCTGTGTTTTCTTCACTAATAGTATGTAAACTTCTTGAGGGCAGGAACTTTCTTTTTTTTGTTTTTGTTTCTGTACTATCTAGCTCAGTGCCTTGCAAATAGATATTTCCTTTTGTTTCTTGTTTGATTGATTTGGCATTGACAGAAGCACAATTATTTTGCCTCTGTCACTTGTTATGTGATCTTGGGCAGGTTACTTAACATCTTCACTTCAGTTTTCTCATCCATAAAATTACAAATTTGATCTTGATGGCCAGTTTTTGTAATATAATGATCTTTCAGGTGACTGGAAAATTCACTTTGCCTTTCTGTACATTGGCACTGAAATTCTCATTTGCCTTTTGTTACTTCTACTCCTGGTCTAGTAATTTGAATGGTTAATTAGTTCACTAATTTGTCATGTCTGTTAATAGTTTTAGGCCTTCCTTCTGTATCATCCCTACTTTTATCGATGTCAGCTCCATTTGATCCACGTTTATCATGTTCTTGCCAAGGCCCTAAGACAAACAGTTGTGATTCTTAGCTGTTGTTTCAATCCTAGTTCAGCCCTCCTTCATATTTCTGGCTATGTAAATGTCACTTGTGCCTATGCTATTCTTTTTATTGATCTCTGTCTTAGATCTGATTCTGTCACCTTGTCCTTAAACCATCTGTAATTGTAATTGGTCCCTGAAGTAACATTGTTGGCTTTCTTTTGCATTATAGATAACATTGCTTTCTGCATTATTGTTTGAATGGGTCTGTGGAGGCATCAGTTTTTTTTCATAGTCAGTAAAGATTTATTAAGCACCTTCTATATGTGCTAAGTTCTAGGGACATGAAAAGAGGCAAAAGACAGTCCCTGCTCTTAAGAAACTCACAGTCTAATGGTCATACATTAAGTTTGACTAACTATCTGAATCCAAGATTTGAAACTACATCTTTTCACTTGAAATCCAGTATTTGCATTTATTTATTTATTTATTTTTTTGGCAGTTGGGATTAAGTGACTTGCCCAGGGTCACACAGCTAGTAAGTGTCAAGTGTTTGGTCTGAGGCTGGATTTGAACTCAGGTACTCCTGACTTCAGGGCTGGTGCTCTATCCACTGCACCACCTAACTTTCCCTAGTATTTCCATTTTCTAGGCTGTCTCCTTTTTATGTTTTTAAAAACTGTTCTGCACATTTGATTAATATTTTCTTAGTTTATTTCAGTCATAATTTTTATTGTTTTTTTTAATCCTTTAATGCTTTTGTACAGCTTTAATATGCTGAAGGAGAATCTGGGTTCCACAGTACTAGTCTAAGGCATAGGGAAGAAGGCTAAGCAATGAATAAAGGTAATTGGGGAATAGAAAAAGTAAGGAATTGGAGAGAAAGATGAGAGAAGGCAAAAGAAAAAATGAAGTAGTCCCTATCTAATACTACAGATAGTATCTTTAATGGATCCACTTACTACGAAGTGGCAGCCCTATCATAATTAACTTACCCTTGCTTTATTCCTTCAGTAATTTTTCTGTAAGAGTTCTTCATCTTTGAGTTTCTCAACTGTGTGGCTTTTTGCTTGCTCTTCTTGCTAGTAGACCCATATCAATTATCTGTTGTGGCTACCTACCTCAAGATAATTGTGTGAAAGACATACTTTCAGCCTAGTTTTAATATCATTAAGGGGGGAAGTACTTATTATTTTTCTGGACAGTTTGAATTAATTCTTTGTTCTGTATTCAAAATTTTATGAAGTTCTACAACTTCATGACAAAGAATCATAGAAAAAAACTAAAGGAGTCGATAGAGATCTTGAAATCATACAAAATCCTCTCCCTCCCAACTTCTCAACTTTCAGGTAGATGAACCCAAGGCAGATGATTGTTTTTTCCTTTTTTTTCCCCTCTAAATTAAGACACTGTCTTTAATCTATTCTAATATTTTGTTAGCGTGATGAAATAATTGGTTTCTGTTTCTATGGGAATCTAGTCAAGTAGTTCCTCAGTATGAGACATTTTGATTGGTTGTCTTCCTTCCTCTCTGACTACAACTTTCTTGTTTCTTTTGTTCTTTTGCTACCTCAAACTGGGTGATTTATCCAGTAAACAAAACACATTATTTTTGTGGCCTTTCTACATTCGGTCCTTTGGAGGCATTGCCATATTTCCTGGTATTAGTTATCACTTCTGTGCTTATGACTCTCTAATCACCCAAATCCAGGTGCCATCCTAGTTTTACATTTCCCTTTTAGACAAGTTCCAACTCTTTCATTAAGGTGGTGACTGTGTTATATATCTTTTCTTTATTGATCTCTAAACTAACTCTTAACTTTTGTATTCATAGCATGCGGTTTAATCTAGCAAAACATTTTAAGAATATACTATGTATGTTACATTTCTTAACATTTTGTCATATCATTGCGTAATTTTGATATGTGAATCTTTTTACTTGTTTCATGTATATAACATAAGATTCTCATGGGCAGGGTTTGCTTTAAAAATTTTTTCGTATCCTGAATGGTCTAGCATATATAATGTTAACCACATATTATGTGCTCATTAAATACTTTATTTTGTTTTTTTGTTTTTTGTTTTTGTGTTGGTTTTTTTTTTTTGGCTAGGCAATGGGGTTAAGTGACTTGCCCAGGGTCACACAGCTAGTAAGTGTCAAGTGTCTGAGGCCAGATTTCAACTCAGGTCCTCCTGAATCCAGGGCTGGTGCTCTGTCCACTGCACCACCTAGCTGCCCCCTCATTAAATACTTTAAAAAATTTTGGTAGTGAAGTTCTTCCTTTTGTCTGGCCATACTAACTCTTTATATGCCCATCTCTGTCTTGTTGTTTCATTATACACAAATTCTAGGTTATAGGCGCACTTTAAAGTAGAATGATCTTTGCTGCTTTTTCCTATCTTGTTTTTTATCAGCTAAAATGATACAACTGAAAATTATCTTTTTCTTTTACTGGATGGTTTTGTATATATCACTTCCCATAAAGTCCTCTGCTATTTTCTTAATTATCCTTTGCATCACTGGTGGATCAATTTTTTTTTGTATTAGTTGATATTAAGCCTTTTTAACTTGTCAACTTATGCCAATCATTGTTTTCCTTTCCTCTATTTAAATTGTGTCATTATTCTCTAATTTCTCTCTCTCCCTCTTTTTTTTTTTTTTTTTTTTTTTAATTGGTTTTGGGGTTAAGTGACTTGCCCACGGTCACACACCTAGTACGTGTTATGAGTCTGAGGCTGGTTTTGAACTCAGGTCCTCCTGAATCCAGGGTCGGTGCTCTATTCACTGCGCCACCTAGCTGCCTCTACTAATTTTTCTTTTCTCAGTCTACAAGTGAGCCTCTCTTTATGGGATGAATGAAAAAACATTTATCAAGTACTCATGTGCAAAACACTGCTAAACACTGTACATACACGTAGAAACATAAATGCAAATTGGAAAAATCACTTCACATCTCACCTACATAGAGTAAAGCTGGACAAAGCTCTGCTTCTAAAAAAATTCTCTGCTAATTTACTTAGAGTGTAATAATAGGAAAAAAATCTCCTATTTCTTATTTGTTCCTAAGAATATTTTTTATAGCATGGAAGTAAATATTGATTATCAAAATTATTTTTTTGGTAATTATGAAACATGAAAATTTGCCACTAAATTTTGGTAACTGGTAATTTTACAGAGAATTTAATTCTTTTTTATGAAGACAAAATCAAAACTTAAGGGTTGTATTTAAAAAAATTTTCAGTTTGTTTTGTATGTCCTGAGTTGTCTTATGTCTTTTTCCTACTTTCTGAAAAATCCCCTGTTCAATAAAATGTGAATTATTTTTTTCATGCTTCTTAATTTCAGGAAAAGGAAAAAACAACAATGGTACTGCTCAGCAAATTCAGAAAAAAGGACATTTAAATAAGACAGCATCTAAAAACCAACAAATGTCTAAGAAGAGAGAAATTATACTGAAACAAAACCAATCTCCAAAGTTCACTATTACTAGAAGTCAGAGAATTTCTAAGCGTCCATCTAATTGGTGGGTAGTGACAGCAGAAGAGGGTAAGTATTCTTATTTCATAATGAATAAAATTTCTTCTATTCTGGCTTTCTTCCTTTCATGCTCCTTTCATCTACTTGTACTTCTTCAGACCTGATTTCCAGCATATGACCCAGCATCCCTGGCCATCTTCTCCAGCTCATGCTATATAGTTTCTCATACTGTCTGACATGCTAACTTTGGAGGGGGAGATATAATACTTTCTGCTACTCCTGTACTTAACATTACTTAGCAGCTTCTCCTCTGAAATTTTATCACAATTTTTCATTCTATATAAGTTACAGTGACTGTTGTCTACTGACCACAAAATTATTCGTCCCCCCTTTTTTTTCTCCAGTAAATTATACCTGACTCACTGTTTTCCTCTCCTCCCTACCTCTTGCCTTTGTACTAGAGGACTCCCATCTGTCCATATGATCTCTAGGATTGGATATAAAATCCTCTAGCCTTCAAAGTTCTTTATAACCTACTCTGCCCTGCCCCACCCTCCTTCCCATTTCCCTTTGGTTCCAGTCTTCTTCTTTTTTTTTTTTTAAAGGCAGTTGGGGTTCAGTGACTTGTCCAGGGTCACACATAGTTCCAGTCTTCTAACTACTTACCTTACTGCCCTTTCTTTTCCTCCCCAAATGTGTTCTTCAGTTCAGTGACAATAACCTCCTTACTGTCCCTTGAAAAAGACACTGCATCTGTTAACTTTGGACCTTTTTTTCCACTGACTGCCTCCATGCCTGGAATGCTCTCCCCTCATCTACACCTCCTGGCTTCCCTTCCCTCTATGAAATCCCAACTAAAATCTCACCTTCTACAGGGAGTCTTTCCTGATCCCTCTTAATTCTAGTGCCTTCCCTCTGTTGATCATTGCTAATTTATGTTGTATGTAACTTGCTCATATTTAGTTATTTGCATATTGTCTCCCCCATTACATTGTGAACTCTTCAAGAGCTGGAACTGTCTTTTACCATTCTTCGTATCCCCAGTGCTTAGCTCAGTGTCTGGCACACTTTTGTTGTTCAGTTGTGTCTGACTCCTTGTGACCCAATGGACCATAGCATGCCAGGCCCTTGTTGCAAAAAGAATTTGCAATAAAGAGAAACTGAGGCACAAAACTCTGAGCATGATCAAGTTATTAGGAAGGCTAGCAATTGCCAGTAAATGGGATCCATGGCTTCTCTAATAGCCCAGGATGCCATTGATAGCAAGAACAGTTCTTTTTTATACAGTGAAAAGCTAACAGGTTGTATGAGGTACCAAAACTAATTCTGTAATGAAAACTAAACTAAGGCTGTAATTGGTCTGTAGCAGAGGTAAAGGGCAGGCTTAAATTTGGCCTGACTCACAAGAGGAGATCTCAAGGACACATGGCAATGGGGAAAACACAAAATTGACTAACATCCTCTGGGACAGTCCTGTGTCAGGCACCCTCCTACACCAGAGTGGTCTGGTCCTAGGCAAAACATCTTATGACTAGGTCAGCTCATCTTCTATTTCCCCCACTCCTTCCTTCTGAGGTGAGATAAATTGAGTCCAGGCTGTAGCCCATAAGGGTAGGGAAGTTAAACTCTTATAAACTCTACTACTAAGGCCTATACAATCAAATCTAAATCTGATCCAGAAGTATTGATTCTAGTGATTAGATACAGTTGTCAATAAGTAATACAAAATAAAGTAGGGTCTCGGTTTTCAATTTCACACCTTTCTGTCCTCCACTATCTCCTGGAGTCTGTCTAAGCTCATGTTCATTGCTTCCGTGAACTATCCATCTCATCTTCTGCCATCCCCTCCTTTTGCCTTCAATTTTTCCTGGCATCAGAGTTTTTTCTGATGACTTCTGTCTTATTATATGGCCAATGTATTTAAGCTTCAGCTTCATTCACTATTTGTCCTTTGAATGAATAGTCTAGTTTCCTTAAGTATTGACTGATTTGATCTCTTTACTGTCCAAGGGACTCTCAAAAGTCTTCCCTAGCACCATAATTCAAAAGCTTCAATTCTACGGCTCTCAGTTTTCCTTATAGACCAACCCTCACAGATATATTACTACTGGTAAAACTGTAGCTTTGACCATGTGGATCTCTGTTGGCAAGGTGATGTGTCTGCTTTTTAGCATTCTCACCAGATTTGCCATAACTTTTTTTTCCAAGGAGCAAGTATCTTTTAATTTCATAGCTGCAGTTATCGTCTGCAGTGATCTTTGAAACCAAGAATAGAAAATCTTAGAATGCTTCCATTTCTTCTCCCTTTATTTTCCAGGAAGTGATGGAACAGATGCTATGATCTTAGTTTTTTTAATGTTAAATCTTCAAGCCACCTTTTGCTCTCTCCTCCTTTTACCCTCACCAAGAGGCTTCTTAATTCTTCTTCATTCTCTGCCACCAGAGTGGTATTGCCTGTGTATCTAAGATTGTGGATATTTCTCCTAGCAATCTTAATTCTGACTTTTGATTTATCCAGCCTGGCATTTCATGTGATATACTCTGCATATAAGTTAAATAAATAAGGTAACCACATACAGCTTTATTGTACTCCTTTCCTAATCTTGAACTAATCAGTTGTTTTCAATTTTCGGTTCTGTTTCTTCTTGAGGAGAATACAGTTTTCCTCAGGAGACCAGTAAGATAATTTGGTACTCCCATATTTTTGAGGACTTGCCACATTTTGTTGTGTTCTACACAGTCAAAGGCTTTAGTGTAGTCAATGAAGCAGAAGTAGATGTTTTTCTGGAACTCCCTTGCTTTTTCCATAACCCAACAAATGTTGGCAATTTGGTCTTTAGTTCCTCTACCTTTTTGAAATCTGACTGCACTTTTGTTAATTCTTGTTCCACATATTGATAAAGGCTAGCTTGCGGAATCATAACCTGGCTGGCATGTGAAGTGAGTGCAGTTGTTCAGTAGTTTGAACATTCTTTGGCATTGCTCTTCTTTGGGATTGGGATGTAAGCTGACCTTTTCCAATCCAGTGACTGCTGTTGAATTTTCCAAATTTGTTGCCATATTGAGTTGCAGCACTTTCATAGCATCATCTTTTAGGATTTTAAATAGTTCAGCTGGAATTCTATCACTTCCATTAGTCCCTGTTGTTAGCAGTGCTTCCTACGGCCCACTTGACTTCGTTTTCCATGATGTATGGCTCTGGCTCAGTAACCACATCATAGTGTTATCAGTGATGTAAGGATCTTTCTTGTGTAGTCCTGTATATTCTTGTCACCTTTTCTTAAATTCTTCTACTTCTGTTAAATCTCTACTATTTTGGTCATTTTACCTTGCTCATTTTTGCATAAAACATTCCCTTGCCTCTCCAATTTTTCTCAAGAGATCTCTTGTCTTTCCCATTCATTCTATTGTTTTCCTCTATTTCTTTGCACTGTTTACTTAAGAAAACCCCCTTATCTTTCCTTGTTATTCTCTGGAATTCTGCATTCATTTGGGTATATCTTCTTCTTTCTCCTTTGCCCTTTGCTTTCCTTAGCTATTTGTAAAGGCTCATCAGACAGCCATTTTGCTTTCTTGTTCTTTTTCTTTGGGATGTTTTGTTACTGCTTCCTGTACAATATTGTGAACCTCTGTCCATAATTCTTTAGGCAGTCTGTCTACCAGAGCTAATCTGTAAAATCTATGTGCATTACAAGGATTTAAGAGCTTAAATTTTCATCTGCCCTTTCTACTTGCTATAAAAACAAATTTATAGCTGCTGAAGTGAACAAATATGCTTTGAGTGCCTGCTATTTGAAGGTACTCTTAGGTGTATGTAGGATATAAAAAAGAGTAAGTTCTTGTTGCTGAAATAGTTTTCAGTTTAGTTGGGGAGATAGGACGTAATTACACAAAAAATACAATATTCATCGTTATCTTGAAAAGTTTTTAATTAGTTGCCTAGTTTTGTTAGATTTTTATTTGTGTTGATTATCTAAATTAAATAGTTAAGACAAAAATGTTATGTGATGTGAAGATATGGTGTCTACCGTAATAGCCATATGCACAAGTTATCTGGGATAGAGTGAGGGGGAAGGTAAGGTAGTTTTCATAATTTAACTAGAGAGGAATCTAACATTTGATTCAGAATTATCAGCAAGTTATCATTTGTGACTCTTCTTTGAAACTGAATAATATCAGGGGCAGCTAGGTGGTGCAGTGGATAGAGCACCAGCCCCGGAGTTTGGAGGACCTGAGTTCAAATCTGGCCTCAGACCAAACACTTGACACTTGCTAGCTGTGTGACCCTGGGCAAGTCACTTAACCCCAATTGCCTAAAAAAACAAAAAACAAACAAACAAAAAAAACAAAATGAAACTGAATAATATGACTATAGAGATGGGGATCCTTATTGTTTTCTGTTGTGATTGGTACTCTCCCTGCTTCCTTTGTAGGTTCATTTTCATACCCTAAATTTCCTAAAAGTTTTCCCCAAGGCAGCTGGATGAACAAATGTTCTGGTAAATGGGCACCTTGAAGAACTTAGTAACAATGCTGAAGTTATAATGTAATAGTACTGAAGTTGGAGTATTTAATTTTCTTTTTTTTTTCCTGCTTGAGACTTTGCAGCTTTAAAGATTCTTAATGACAAAAAATTGAAGAGCCATTTTTTTTCATAATTTTTTTGAGGCTTTTTTATTTTATGAATAATAATAGATCTAATAAGCCTAGGTCATCACCATTCTTTGCATCCAGTAGGTATTTAAGAAATATTTTGAATTGAATGTCATATTTGGATAGTATTTTGCTCTTTTCAGAGTGCTTTTCACATTTATTAGGTCATTTGAGCCATACAACTATCATGTGAGGTGGGTAATAACATTTCCAATAATAGGTAATGATGAAATTAAGGTTCATAGATAGTGACTTGCCCAACTGCACAACTGGAACTTGCACCAGTGGCTTTAGAATCATTATTCCTTGCTCTTTCCTTTAAACCAAGGGTGGGGAACCTGTGGCCTCCTTCTAGGTCCTTGGATGTGGCCTTTTGACTGAGTCCAAGTTTTACAGAATAAATCTTTTTATTAAGGTTTATTAAGGGGATTTGTTCTGTGAAGTTTGGTTTCAGTCAAAGGGCCACACTTGAGTACCTAGAGGGCCACATGTGGCCTTGAGGCCGCAGTTTCTCCACCCCTGCTCTAAACCATTCTTACCTCAAGAACTGATTTGCAATGTAGAGTATTATGTAAAGTGCTGCATAAATGTAAACCGTTTGTGTTTGTGTTGACAACTCCTTGTTAATTTCAGATTATCCTTACATTTTTTTAGGCAATCTTTTTTATAGTCCTGCTTTAGAGTTACCAGTAAACCATAAAAAAAACCCCAAACCATCTAAAGAAACAAAAAAAATACTTATCAAGACTTTGGAGAAAGGAACTATTTCACCCAAACAACAGAAATCATCTATTTGTGCCAAGCCAAAAGAAGCATCTATTCCAAACAAACAAAAAAGAAAGAAATTATCATATTCAAGTGATGAAAATTGTGATATGGCACATACAGTTCCCAAACTGGATGAACAAGAAGGTTCATTGAAAGAAACTCCAAGAAAGAAAAATGTTGCCTGTTCTAGGTAATATCCATTATTTTTACAGTGTTTCTTGTAATTGGTCTGAGGCAATCTCAACATTTTTTTTCTTTCAGCTAAAAGTACATGTTACTTATTTGATATAACCTTAAGGTAGCTTCAGAGCTTACAGATATTTTATTTCTGGGAATTTAAAACATGTTCATATCAGGTATTTCATTTGATGTTTTGATAATACTGTGTGATAGGTAGGACAGGCGTTATTTTATGATTAGAAACCAAGGTCAAGACAGGTTAAAGAACTTGCTTTTGGCAAGTTAAGGGCAAAGCTGGGATAGGACCTAGATATCCTGATGCCTATGCTATTAATTATAAACCTGTAGTATAGACATAAAAGAATGAATTACTCCTTTAAATATTGTTTAGATTAAATTTTTTTCTGTATAAAACCATAGGTTCATAGATCTAGATTCTGGAGCTGGAAGGGCCCTCAGGAATTCATCTAGTTAAGTACCTTTCTTTTACAGATGAGGAAACTGAGGCCTGTGGCAGTTAAGTGACATGCCAAGGTCCATAAGTGGTAAATAAATGTCAGGCGGGATTTGTACCAAGTTCTCTGACTCCTGGGGCAATTGATGATTTGGCTTATAAGTTATTTAAAAATTATATGTGACCTTAGAAATAGAGTCCAACATTGAAGCTTAGACATATGAATTATCTATGCTCATGTAGCATGTTGCTGTCTCAGTCAAGCTTTAGAATCCTTGTCTCTTGACTCTTATTAGGTCTCCATCACTTAATATGACACAGTTATGAAATTATCAGAACATGAATAACATATCAGTAACTTAGTTATGGATATTTGTGGAACATTTTCTTATATTTTCTTGCAAGCACAACTTTCACTAAAAGCAGTAGATGTTCATTATGTGTATTTTATGTATTGGACTTCAACCCAAACTCATAACTATTTTATTTGATGTTGATCCTTTTTGTTTTTTAACCAAGTTATAGGTCAGACTAAAGCAGGATTTTACATAAGATTTGGTAGTTTCTGACAGTGTTATTTTTTAACATTCTAAAGGAATGCACCAAAAATTAATACATCAAAATAACACTGGAAAAAAAATAGTGAGAGTGTGTGTGTGTAAATAAAATCAAATTATAGAAGTACTTTTTGTGGTAGAACACCCAAAAGTCAAAGACAGAAAGGTGTTTTGTATATGTATATGTGTACATATATGTATAATTTCAAAATATAACAGTACTTTTTGTGGTAAAACAAAATGGCACATAGTAGGCATTTAATAAATATTTATTGGCTAAGTAATATGCATATGTACATATGTGTGTATACATATAATAAAAATATAGCAGTACTTTTTATAGTAGAAAAAATGTGTATATATTTGGTATGTGTGTATGTCTGTGTATCTGTATATGCATAGATGTATATATATTTGCATGTGAATATTTATATATATGCACATGTGTCATATCTTCTGTTGCCAATCTGGTGTTGAGTCTCTAATTCCTAAGCTTAGCTAAGCTTTTTCTAGTAGGCACACTTTCTCCTCTGGCTCATATGGAAAGCCTTTACTGTCTTTTAAAAGTTGTGTTTAAATTATTTATGAAATATTTTTTTTCTTGCAGTATAATTTGCTACCCTTTTTAGTCAGGTCAGCATAAGTTAAATTGTGGGGTATGCTTCTAACTGAGTCCTTACCTTTTGCTTTTGAAGAACTGAAACTTGACTTCCCTTTGATAATTAAAAGAATCTCAGTTTTTGAGCTGGAACTCTATTCAGTATCATCTAGTCAAAGACCCTTGTTTTGTATAAGGGAAACAGCCAGGGAGAGAGAAAGTGACCTTGTTTCTGGTCTTTCAGCTACTTAGTGGCAGAGCTGAAGCAAGAATCATAGAATTCATAGGATGATGACTCCATCATAGGATTTCTGATCTATTGGGACTCAATTTATCTAATTTTCAGGAAAGCTAGATGATTTATTTGAATGTAGTTTTAAAAACAATATTATTATAATTTCTATCCAGTATAACCTTGAGAGTCAATATGTTAATTCAAAACATACATTTGGTTGTTTTAAAAAAAGGATTTTTTAATAATATTTCAGTCAAAACTCATTAAACATTTTTTTAAAATGACTTTTACCCAGTTTTTGTCTTAGGTGTCTTTAAATCTCAAAAGTTGTAGTTGCCAAATTACCTTTTATAGTATTCAAAAAGAATAACTTGTCTGAAAAGTTTATTCTCTCAAAACATAGCACTTTAATGATCAAGTTGAACATATTTCTTATAGGCAATGAGCTTTAATTGTATCACAACTAGGAAAGTATATGTGATGCAATTTTGTATATTGACCATATACCTTGGCCTATTGTAGTAGAAACAGTAAGAACTAGATTTGAAATCAGAAGAACTAGCTTGAATTGGTCACTTTATTAATGTCTCTATATATCAATTTTCTCACCTGTGAAAATAAATCAGTTTGAAATAAAACTGCATACAACTTATCCTTTTCTTCTTCCATGTATCTATATCTATCTATACTTTTTTTCTTTGGTGTACATACTGTATACACCCAGTTAGACTTAAAAGCAGGGGCTGTTGTTTTTCATTTTTGTGCCCCATTCCTTAGCACAGTACTTTGCTTATGATAGATATTTAATATTAAATGGTTGTTAAACTGAACTGAATTGAGTTTCCCTGTGAAAAATGGCCATTTCACTTTAATGAGGAATAAACACAATAGGCCTGGAGCATTTCTAGTAACTACGCAAGCAGAATAAAACCACCTGTGTAAGTTAGTTCTAGGGTCCTAGCCTTCATTTTTTACCAGATCCTGGTTTAAAATCAAATCTCTAAATATTTCTTACCCTTTTGAAGACGAAGCCCCCTTGAGGATCCCGGAATCAAGACTCCTTCTTTATTCAACTCTGATCTTTAAAACCAGAGCAGAGTATCCATCATAGAGTATACTGAACATTAATTGTCAGGGAGGAAAGGAGTGGGAAAGATGATAAAATGTCATTTATTGTTCATAGTGTATTTGTTTGGTTTTTTATGTATGAGCAGTTTAAAATTTTTATTTCCACAGTACTGCAGAACCCCCTAAGGAACGTATCAGTGATGTTCAAAATGTTAATCTGACACCAGCAATGCCAACATCAGATTCTAAAACCTTTGTGACTTCAACCATGGAAGAAAGGTATTGGTCACTAGATAATTAAAATTAACCTATCCTTTGATGTCCAATAGTATGTTCTCTCTGATTTAGTGAATTAAAATTATGGTTTCATTTTTAAATGCTTTAGAGGGACTGACCAAGCTTGTCATAAATTTTGCTGTATCAGTAAAAGATACTGGAGATTGACTAAATGTTGAGAGGAGGGAGACAGGTTGGTTGTAAGTTGGCAAGGGGAACTGAGTGTACCCAGTTGAAAGAAAAGAAGGTAGGAATTGACCACATGGATCACTTTTGACCAACTCTTGATTTAGATTTTAAGCTTTCTTTGTATCTATGTTTTTTAAACACTGGAGAGGTTGAAAATATGATTTTGAAAAAAAAGAAGATGTGATGTATTTTTAGTTTTTATGTTAAATTATGCTTTCATGGAATGCTTTAAAGCAGTTCCGTTTTGTTTTAGTTAAAACTCTTACATTTCATCTAAAAATGATATAGATTACAAATATGACAAATGAACTTTGTGTCAATTCTGATTTTTCATATTAGTAATTTCAGAATTGATTCATTTTTATCATAACTGGATATTTTTTTTTGTGGATCTGTGATTGCAATGATGTGAGTGCTTTTGTCATTCATGGACATCTACAACTCAGCTATGCATTCTCATCCTGTGCATCTCTTGTCCATATCCTTAAAAGAAGGTCCAACTTACTACATAGGGATCTTTTGACATTTTTATGGTTACCAAGGGAACTCTCAGACTTTGTATTGTTTATCCATCACTCTTGTTATGTGATTGAATTTTTCCTTTGATGGTCATACATATCCTCGATTATATTCTTCATATTGCTTTTTCCATTCAGTTCTTTTTTTAATTATTATTTTTTTGTTAATTTAGTTTTAGTTTTTTTTTTTTTAGGCAATTGGGGTTAAGTGATTTGCCCAGGGTCACACAGCTAGCAAGTGTCAAGTGTTTGGTCTGAGGCCGGATTTGAACTCAGGTCCTCCTGACTTCAGGGCTGGTGCTCTATCCACTGCGCCACCTAGCTGCCCCTAGTTTTAGTTTTCCACAGTGACTTCCATACGCTTTTGAGTTTTAAATTTTTATCCCTCTCTCTCCCCCCAAGATGGTGTGCGATCTGATACAGACTCTACATATACATTCCTATTAAACATATTTTCACATTAGTCATATTGTAAGGAAGAATTAGAACCAATAGGAGGAACCACAAGAAAGAGGAAACAAAACAAAACAGAAGAAAAATAAAGAGCAAATAGTATGCTTCAATCTGCATTCAAATTCCTTAGTTCTTTCTCTGGATGTGGATAACTTTTTCCATCGTGAGACTTTTGGAGGTGTCTTAGATCCTTGCATTGAGGAGAAGGGCTCATTCAATTCTTCTTTAGCAAAATGTTGCTGCCTATTTGATGGCTACCATTTGTTACTCCATTAACCATTTGCTTGACCTGCACTTGGTTGTTAAGAGATTGTCATATTCCATGACTATTCTATGGCCAGAAGATTGATTTTGAAAAGAGAGGCCATGTTTCAGCATCCTTAAAAGCACTTCATGACTTCCCAGTGGTAATACAGTCGTTCTCCTTTTCCTCACCAATTCTGTGTGTAGATTTTTGCTGTTCTGTAGGGTTTTTCTAAGATGTGTATGGAACAGTTCAGTAGTTTGTCCATATAGCTTCTTAACATAGTCTGGATAATAGATATTCTTTATTCCCTTGAGTTTGTGTGTGGCTGAACTCTTTTGAGTGACTGTGCATCCAATTGAGGAGATTTTGCAATGTTTTGGGGCTTGATGTTAACAACAGTTAATAAATAGCAATATTTAGAGGAACTCATTCTACGGGGTCTCTTCCATTTGGACTATACTGTGGACATCCTCCCAAATACTATTAATTGGTGAGCATAAAACCTCCCTCTTTTATTCCTCACTTAATATTAATAATCCGAGGGTCACTGAACAAAAGTTATCTTTGCTCTTATATCTTTCAAAAAATCTCGTGTCATTTTGTTATATTTATGGGAGACATTTTGCTGGGGAAAAGCCTTTAAAAGTGACATTTTGTTCTGTTGAATCACATGCCTTTTTGTAGTTAGTAAACATAGTTGAAACTTTTATTTAATTCCACAGTTAGCCAATTGTGCAACTGTAAAATTATAATCCACCAGAGAATAACATTTGTGAAAGTCTGACTGTTTCCTTCTTATGCCTTTATTAAGAATGCTTCTGATAATGTATTGCCAGATTTTCTACTTTTAGGCTTCCTAGTGTGTGGCCAGTGAGTGATGATGAAACCGTTTTTAGTTAGCTAGGTTGTCCCTTGTAAAGTAGTTTTAAGGAATGGGAAGATTTTGCTTTTCATCGTGGTAGAACCTACTACTGTTAGAGCCCATTCTCAATGACATAACCCTTGACAATTCTTTGTAACCTCCATAGTGTATTGAGGCATTTGAGTAGGCATGTGCGACATAGTATAGTAGGTGGAAGGGAAGAGATAAAGATAAATTAAACACAATTAAGCTTAAAAGTCATAAAGAATGACATTTATCTGGTATGACAGCCAATATGAAATTTTAATGTATATTTTAAAAGATAATTGTTATTTCCAGATTTTTCTCTATTCCTTCTCTTCCTACAGTTCCTCCAACATACACCATTTATGTCAAGTTTGCTGAGTTGATTAGTTGGAAGTGAAACCTCATAGTTCCTTTGATTTGCATTCATCTTATTAATAAAGAGAATTTTGCATATGGTTGTTGAGAATTTGTATTTCATATTCCTATAATTTTGGACCACTTATTTCTTGGTTTTATATGTTTGTATCAATTCTCTATATGTCTTGTATATCAAACTTTTATCCAGAGATTTTCATTGTGAATATTTTTTTTCCTAATCCAGTTTCTCTTATTTTCATTACATTGAGTTTGTTGGTACAAATGCATTTAATTCCAGTTATGGAAGTAAAACTTTTTCAGCAAGTATTACTCTCTTGGCTCTATTGATTTTTAATGTATAAGAAAAAATTATAATAGTTCTTGGACAGTGGAATAACTTTCATTTTTAAAAACAGTTTGGATTTTGAGAATTCTTTTTCTTTCCCTTTCTAAAGTGGACCAGCCAGGTTAAGGAATACCGTTTTAACATCTACAAACGACAAAATCCTTGGAGATGAACAGGAATGTGGTACAAGTAAGTCAATGATAGTTTTCTCTTTGTTTTTCTTAGATTTATAGAGCTTCATACAAAGAAATATTCAATGGTGAGATAGTATTTTATACTTTACCTATTATATGATTAAGGCCCCATACTAGGCTTGTTTCTCCCTTCATACTATTACCTTTGGTGAGTTCATCTTTCTCTTGTCATGGCTTCATCTATCTTCTCAATGACTAACACATCTAGACCTCCCATCTATCTTTGCCACCTGTTGCCCACCTCCTTCTAAAACCTCTTGAGTTCTTGACCCTCCATTCTCAAGTGGTTACTAACACGTCCTTGTTGTATGCGACAAAGCTCATCATCTCTACCCCAAACCTATCTTTCTATGCTTCCTTGTTTTAACATTCTTGCTTTTGAATCCTACCAAATTATACTTTCCTTCATTTTCCCCAGACCCCTATCTCCAATCACTCCTATTTCTAATCACATTATAATCCCTTGTAGTTCTACTTCCATATCACTCTGTTAAACATATCTATCCCTTTCTATTTTCGCTATTTCCTTAGTTCAATACCCTCATTACCACTCTCTTGTACCTGTATACCTGCTTTCATTTTTTTTCAACTTCAGTCTATTTCAATCACTCATGTTAAATCACCCTTAAATTTTTTTGAAGTTGAGCTAACAGAAACAGTTCTATGTACAAAAAAAGGAATTGCATTAGCTTGTTTTTTTTTTTTAATGAAGTATAATATATTTATATATGTGTAGATATAGATCTCTAAATAAAACATAATGAGCTAGTGACCGTATTGTTCTGTTTTGGTTCCTTTTTTATTGTGGGGGGTGGTGGTGCATTCTTCTGTGAGCTCCTGTGAGTCAGAGACTGTTTTTTGCCTTTTTTTTTTCATCCCTAGCAATTAGTACAGTGCCTTGAATGTGGTAGGTACTTAATTGACTTGATTATTTGACATTTAAAAATTTTGCATTAATACTTTCTTTTTTCATAGCTATTACTCATTGACCTTCAACCCATACCCCCTACCACAACCCTCAGGATTAGATCATCTCCCTTGTAATGAACATATGTAATCCAACTATACAAATTATAAGATCATAGATCAGTAGATCCTGAACGGATTTGTAAAGGTTGTCAGAAGTGCCAAACCTGGGCTTTGCAGGCTACATGTAGTCTTTGAGCATGTTCTGAATAAGAATAAGATATAATTGTTATATATTGAACAAAATAAATATGTTAAAATTGTGTGTGTGTGTATACACACATCCATATATATTTATAAAACTTGTGATTTTCTAAGTCAGTATACAGCCCTCAGAGATCCTTATGCATGGTTTAGTGGCCCCTATTTGTATTTGGGTTTAACATAATTGCTCTAGACCAGAGGTTCCCAAACTTATTTGGCCTACTGCCCTCTTTTTAAAGAAAAAAAAAGTGCCCCCTTGAAAATCTACTTTCTTTAACCCTATAATGGTTTTTTTAAAAAAATTTTTCATCATTTCAAAAAAATATAAAATTTTTTTTAAAAAATGACATTTAAAGTTTAATAATTTATTGTAAATTTGTGGTTTTTTTCTGCACTGAAATTTTGATGACACAGTATTGTGTCATTTAACCATATAGTATCGTATTGTAAACAAGTCATATACCTGCCAATGCATGCTGGACTTCCTGACAACGTACAACATGCTCGCCTGCCAACACTTGCTTGTTAGTAAGACCTGTTGACAGACTTGACCACTGATCAGTTATAACTTGCATTTTGTGTTTATTTGGAAAATTATGTAGTCACTATGACTTTAACTCTAATTACACAACAGATGAAATATGTCTGAACGGTTTTTCAGAATTTTCTTATCTTCTTTCCTTATGCTTCTACTGCCCCCATATTTTTATTCAACACCCCCAATTGCATCTGAGGCTACTACCATCTCCTTGGATTGTTTCAACACCCGCCCTCCCCCTTACGGGTTGGTATTGCCTACTTTGGGAACATATGGTCTAGAGACCAAGCCCTTCATTTTACCTGCAGAAACCAAGCTAGGGAGATTAAGTGACTTGCTCAAGATCACCTAGATAATAAGCGATCAGAGGTAAGATCTGAACCTAGGTCCTCTAACTTTAGAGCCAACGCTCTTTGGCTTGTACCACAACTAGGTGTCACAGCTTAGGATCATAGCAAGTGATCTGCAGTTTCTCCAGTGTAATCCAACTTACTCTCTTCCTCCTATTCAAGAGATATAATGATAATAATAATGACAGTAACCATAATAACTCGCATTCATATAGCACTTTAAGGTTTGCATAGTACTTTATAAATATTTCATTTTATCCTAAAAACAACACTGGGATGTAATTACTGTTATTACCACCGTTTTACAGATGAGGAAATTGAGACAGACAAGTAAGTGAGTTGACCAGGGTCATATAGCTATTAAGTGTCTGAAGTAGGATTTGAACTCCAGTCTTCCTGACTCCCAATTCCCGTACTCTATCCATTGTGCCCCCTAGCTGCCTCAGTATGTACTGGGAAACTAATTCAATTGAACTACCCATTCAGTTGATTGCTACAGTTTTCATCTATTTTCCCTGGCTGCTTTTTTTTGGTTTTTTTTGGTCAATGTCCTTTGAACAAATATGAGTTTCATTGAGAAGGCCTTGTAGTATTGTAGGGCTTTGTGCTGATTTCATTATGTCATCTGCAGTTGGGAGCATTTGGCAGACTTCACCTTTGTGGAATGGTGGGTAGGACACTGGACTCAGAGTCAGGAAGACCCTGTTTCAAATTCTGTCTTAGATAGCTATTAGCTGGTTGAAGTTGGTTACCTTTCATGTTTTATGCTTCCTTTGGTATTGCTAATCATTTGATTATTATTGAACAAAGCTATTTCTTTGATTTCATCTGTGAAGGAATCTTGGATGATTGTAACACAAGTACAAAAGGCTCTTTATTGGAAATGAACCTTTAAGACTTCCTTATACTGTACTGAGTCAAATGTTTTTACAGTTGTGAAAGAAAAACCTCTGTACTCTGTTTTAGCCACAGTCTCTTAGAGACAATTTACTAATACACAATTATTCCTACTGAGGTTTAGAGCTGCAAAGGACCTTAGAGGCCATATAGTCCAACCCCCACATTTTATAGATGACATTGTCCAAGAGAGCTAAAGTTACTCACCAACGGTCACACAGTAAGAAAGTATTGGAATCTGAAATTGGGAGCCAGGTGTTTCTGACTCCCAAGTACAGAACCTTGCCACTGATTAGACTAGACCATTCTACATCTAAATGTTTAAAGGGGCATAGTTTCCACTGCTAATTTGAATTGTTTTTCATCCAAGCAATTTCCACTTATGTTTTATAGTAGTCCTAAATCAAAAGACAAAACATACATGTATGTGCATGCAGGTGTGTACTGCATTAACTGATAACATGCACATTTGTATATGCACATACAATATAGCCACGTGTAAATGCATGTATATATGCATATGTAACACAGGTGCTTATAGGTGTGTATCTTTAGTGGTTTATATATCTTGCAAAGCAAATACTTATTAGAGAAATTTGATAAAATGATTTTTTTCCCTCCATTCAGCTGCTTCCCTTCTTAACCTTAATGTAATAATTTTGTGCAGAAACTTTTCTCATGCAATCATTATCCATTTTGTTTTTTGTAATTTCCCATATCTCATTTGTGATGAGGAATACATCTCTTGCCCATAGCTCTGAGAAGTATGTGTTCTTCTTTTCCAATTGATTTATTGTAAAATCTTTGATTTCAATTTCACATATCCATTTAGAATGAATTGTGGAATATGGTATAAGGTGTTGGTCTAAGCCCATTTTCTTCCAGACTGCTCTCTAGTTTTCCAAGCAATTTTTGTAAAAAAAAAGGGAATTCTTCTCTAAGCAATTTATATTTTCTGGTTCATTGAACACTGGGTTATTGTATTCTTTTATTTCTTATTGTCCCTTGAATGTTTCTAGTTGGTTCCATTGATCTACTTTTCAGGCAATAGTAAGTTGAATTGATGATTACTCTTTTATAATAAAGTTTGAGGTCTGTAAGTGCTATTGCCCTTTCATCCTTATGCTGTTATGGAGAGAGAGATATCTTCTATAATGGGAAATGGGGACTTTCTAATGAATATTAGCTGCAGGGAATTGTACTTTGAGAGAGAGGGCAAAATTACTCATTTTTGTAGGACCACTGGGAAGAGGTTAAAAATAATTGACAGAAGCTTTTTTTTGGCTGCTGGAGGAGGAAGAATTATTCCAGGGACAGGCACCAGCTTAATTCCAGAGTCTGTAGTTTTTTCTTTTTCCTTTTCTTTTCTTTGATCTGTTTGGGATCCTTTCCCACTTCACATTAAGCCTATTCCATTTACAATTAGTTTGTTGAAGGACTTCTTAGGAGCCATCTCTTGTAGCTTACCTTGTGGCTGATGAAGTGAGTGGAAAGCACATGTTGCCTCTGTACAACTTTGATTGCTTAGATGTCACCAAATTGGTAAAAGTGATTTGAGATATATCTCATTGATGGTATTTCCCAAGCCTCCAACATATTGGTGTGGTGATGGTATTTTATTATCTGGTGGGTCCAAATAAGGCTTTATTGAAGCCTGTTTTCAAAGCTTTAGCAGGATGATTAATACAAGTTAACATTTTTGATGTTCTAACCAGCCAGGAATCATCAGTGTTTGTAGGCTTTTCATGTCTGTATGGATATTTTTCTTTTTCACATTTTCTTTTAAGCTAGAAGGAACAAATGTGTGGATGATTATATCTCTTGTAAGGGGTGGTCTGGGCCAATTTAAGCAGCATGCCACTGGTAGCTGTTGCCTTCTCCAAAGCACCAACTGGCCAAGTTCTATTAGTTGGCAATCTGTCATTCAACATTTTGTGCATAATTATTTGTTCATATAGGACTTAGTCATATTATCATTAAAGGACAGTCCTGCATCAGGGACCTGAATTAGGTAAACTATTTTCTTGATCCAAAAGCCAG